TTTGTCCTTATTGCATGTAATATGCTGTGATATTTTCCATTCTTAACTACTATCTTCTGTTTCATTACAAAAAAGATACTTTGTAACTCATTGATTTTATGGCCCATTAATGGATTGCTACCCACTGTTTGAAAGATCATATTAATCCACTATGACAAAGCATTCTTATACAGTGAAAACCTTTGAGGAGAATCATATATAAGATGACTTTTTCTTTTATGAGAAATGATTTTTTAGGAAAACTTCACCTTATAATTGGGCATTTATGGCACTTTGAATAATTGATAGCCTTTTCTTTTAACTAGTTAGAAATGAAATTAAATATTCTATTCATAGGATTTATGAACTACAAAATACCTAGCAATGAATTAGCTAGATTTAAGTTAAATAAGGTATAAGATGACTTTATGAAAAAAACATGAAATATGAGAAGAGTGATGTCAGCATCATGGCAAAGTGAACTCTTCCCTTAGACTCTCCCCCTTAAGATGCAATGAAAAGGACACTCATAAACCAATAGGCAACATTCACACAACACAATAGATGTCTGAGAGACCCACGTATCCATACATCTGAAGGTGGAGGTGCTGGACCCTCTGGGAGTCAGTGTCTTAAGGCACAGGACCGTGCGTGGCTCTGAGAGGAGGCAGGGGCAGGCAGCCTTCTGCAGGAATTCCTTTCTAAGGAATTCTAAGTTACTTCCCAGCCCATGGGAAAGCTCCATACTGAGGAGGCTAAGCAATTGCAGGGACATTTTCACAAGCCAAGCAGCCCAGGAGGTCAGACAGCAAGGACAGAGTGGGAGTGGCCCTGGGATCATGCATGCCAAAGAAAGCACCCTTCCCCCTGCCTGGCGCACCAACTCATCCAGAGAAAGTGACCCCCACCAGAGTGCCAGCACATATGTGAGTAAAGTAGCAGTGGCCAGCAGGCAAACACAGCTAGGCTCTGTCAGCATGGCTTCCAAAGGACAGGCACAGCTGCCAGGGATTGCAGTGGGTTCAGAATACACAGCTCCTGCCCTCTGTGCCAGTTGTGGCAGGTGGAATCTGTGACCAGATACTACCAGTATGCGAAGGTACGAATCCACCCCATCAAATAGGATGAAGCGGTATATTAATACTGCAGACCAGAAGGAACATGGCAAGTACCTAGAAATCAATCCTGAAGGCACAGAAATTTACAATTTAAATGACAGAGAATTCAAAATGGCTATCATAAAAAAACTCAACAAGTTACAGAAAACTCAGAAAGACAGTTCAATGAAATCGGGAATAAAATTAATGAACAGAGGGAATTCTTCACAAAACACATTGAAACTATAAAGAAAAACCAATCAGGAATGTTGAAGATGAAAAACACGATGAGTGAGATAAAGAAAAACCTGGAATCCTTACATAACAGAGCTCATATTATGGAGGACAGGATTAACAATTTAGAGGACAGAAATATAGAAATGCTTGAGATGGAGGAGGAGAGAGAACTAAGACTAAAAAGAAAAAATTCTCCAAGAAATATCTGATTCAATTAGAAAATGCAATATAAGGATTGTAGGTATTCAAGAGGGAGAAGAAAGGGAGAAAGGAGCAGAGAGCTTGTTCAAGGAAATAATATCTGAGAACTTCCCAAACCTGGAGAAGGAGCTGGAATTACAAGTAAAAGAAACAAATATAACTCCTAATTACATCAATGTAAAAAGACCGCCAAGGCATATATTAGTAAAACTGGCAAAGTCAATGAGAAAGAAAAAAATATTAAAGAGTAGCAAGGCAGAAGAAAATAACCTACAAAGGAACCCCTATCAGGCTTCTTGCAGATTTCTCAGCAGAAACCTTCCAGGCTAGGAGAGAGTGGAATGATTTATTCAAAATTCTGAAAGACAAAAACTTTCAGCCAGGAATACTCTATCCAGGGAAAATATCCTTCAGATATGATGGAGAAATAAAAACTTTCCCTGATAAACAAAAGCTGAGGGAGTTCATCTCCACCAGGTCCCTCCTGCCCAAATAAATGATCAAGAAGGCCCTCACACCTGTTAAAAAAAGGATTTACAAAGCCTTGAGCAAGGAGATAAATAGGCACAGAAAAATAGAAAATTGCACCTCTGTATCAGAAGAGGTTAGCAAACAATTATGTTAAAGATAAAGGGAAGGAAAACATAAAAGATAACTATCATCACTTTAACTACAAACTCACAACACAAAACAGAATAAGTTGTGACAACAGTAACAGATGGGGAAGGGGAAAGGGATGGAACCTGCTTAGACTAAGAAATAAGAGGCTATCAGAAAATGGACTATCTCATCTATGAGATCTTTAATGCTCATGTCACAGTAACCACTAAACAGAAAATCAGAACAGAGACAGAAATGATAAATAAAGAGAAAACCATCATAGAGAACCACAAACCTGAATTCGCAGTCTGAAATACATGGACAAGAAACAAGGGAAATACAGAACAACAGGAAAACAAGTGATAAAATGGCAGCATTAAGCCTTCATATATCAGTAATCACTCTTAATCTAAATGGATTGAATTCTCCAATCAAGAGACACAGAGTGGCTGGGTAGATTAAAAAATAAGACTCAACAGTATGCTGGTTCCAGGAAGCACATCTCAGCTTTAAAGACAAACACAGGCTCAGAGCGAATGGATGGAAGATGATACTCCAAGCTAATGGCAAACAAAAGAAAACAGATGTTGCCATACTTATATCAGACAAGTAGACTTTAAGATAAAACAGGTAATGAGAGACAAAGAGGGGCAGTATATAATGATAAAAGGAACATTCCACCAAGAGGACATAGCACTTATAAATATATATACACCTAACACAGAAGCACCAAAGTACATAAAGTAATATTAACAGACCTAAGAGGAGATATTAACAGCAACCCAATAATAGTAGGGGACCCTAACACCCCTCTTACATCAGTGGATAGATCATCCAGGCAGAAAGTCAACAAGGAAATAGTGGAATTTAAATGAAAAACTAGACCAGATGGACTTAATAGCTATATATAGAACATTCCATCCAAAAACAGCAGGATACACATTCTTCTCAAGTGCACGTGGAATATTCTCAAAGATAGACCATATGTTGGGAAACAAGGCAAAGTTCAATAAATTTAAGGAGATTGAAATCATATCAAGCATCTTTTCCGACCACAATACTATGAAACCAGAAACCAACTACAAGAAAAAAGCTGGGAAAGTGACAAACGTGGAGACTAAACAACATGCTACTGAACAACGAATGGATCATTGAAGAAATTAAAGGAAAAATAAAAAAATCTGGAGACAAATGAAAATGAAAATACACCATACTAACTCATAGGATGCAGCAAAAGCAGTCCTATGAGGGAAATTCATAGCAATACAGGCCCACCTTAACAAAGATGAAAAATCTCAGCTAAGCAATCTTAAACTACACCCACTAGAACTAGAAAAAGAAAAACAAACCAAGCCCAAAGTTAGCAGAAGGAGGGAAAAAATAAAAATTAGAGCAGAAATAAATGAAATCGAAGCAAAAAAAAAAAACAGTAGAAAGGGTCAATGAAACTAAGAGCTGCTTCTTTGAGAACATCAACAAAATGGACAAACCCTTAGCTAGACTCACTAAGAAAAAAAGAGAGAAGGCTCAAATAAATAAAATTAGAAATGAAAGAGGAAAAATTAGACTGGATACCACAGAAAGAAAAGGATCATCAGAGAATACTATGAAAAACTATATGCCAGCAAATTGGACAACCTGGAAGAAATGGATAAATTCTTAGACTCATACAACTTCTGAAAGCTAAAACAAGAAGAAATAGAGAATCTGAATAGACCAATCACAAGTAAGGAGATTGAAACAGTAATTAAAAACCTCCCCCAAAATAAAAGTTCAGGGCCAGATGGCTTCTCTTGAGAATTCTACCAAACATTCAAAGATTTAATATCTGCCCTTCTCAAACTGTTCAAAAAATTCAAGAAGATGGAACACTTCCTAATACATTTCCAACATCATCCTGATCCCAAAGCTGGAAAAGGACAACACAAAGAAGGAAAATCACAGGACAGTGTCACTGATGAATGTAGAGGCAAAGATCCTCAACAAAATATTGGCAAAGTGAATACAGCAATACATTAAAAGGATCGTACACCCTGATCAGGCAGGATTTATACCAGGGATGCAAGGATGGTTCAACATCCACAAATCAATCAGTGTGATACACAACATTAACAAAACGAGTAATAAAAACCACATGATTGGGGCTGGCCCCATGGCCAAGTGGTTAAGTTTGTGTGCTCCGCTTTGGTGGCCCAGGGTTTCAGTGGTTTGGATCCTGGGTGCGGACATGGCACCGCTCATCAGGCCGTGCTCGTGTGCCATAGCCAGAGGCACTCACAGCTGAATATACAACTATGTACTGGGGGCTTTGGGGAGAAGAATCAAAAAAAACCAAAACAACCCCACATGATCATATGAATAGATGTAAAGTATTTATCAAGATCCAACATCCCTTTATGATAAAAACTCTGAATAAAGTGGGTATAGAAGGAAAGTACCTCAACATAACAAAGGCCATGTATGACATACCCATAGCCAACATCACAAGCAGTGGGGAAAAACTGAGAGCCATCCCTCTGGGAACAGAAAGAATATAAGGGTGCCCACTCTCACCACTCTTATTTTTTTTGAGGAAGACTGGCCCTGAGCTAACATCCGTGCCCATCTTCCTCTACTTTATGTGTGGGACGCCTACCACAGCATGGCTTGCCACGCGGTGCCATGTCCACACCCGGGATCTGAACCAGCAAACCCCAGGCCGCCAAAGCGGAATGTGCACACTTAACCGCTGCACCACCACGCTGGCCCCTTAATATTCTTTTTGTAATTTATCTCTGTTGGTAGGTATACATGTAGTTTGTTCATTTTATTGACTTTAGTCCATTGTGTGACTAATCTACAATTTATTTATTGTCTCCTGTTGATGGATATTTCATTTCCTTCCAGTTTTTCATTATTGTAAACAATGCTGCCGCTGATACGTTTGGATCTATTTATTTTGTCCTGGAAGAATGGCTGTTTTGTTTTCCAGAGCAATGTGTATAAACTAACTCCCCTGTTTCAACTACATACTATGTATGTATATATGCTTTTGTAACCCCTCTAGCTTATCTCACTCTCTCTATATACATATGCTTATGTATGTTCCTATAAGCATTGTGTAATTCATGAAAGGATTCAAATTAGGCTGATGACATTTATGCATTGGTTGTGTGGATTGAGGAGGTGTGACTGGAAGATAAATATTTTCTTTTTATGTCTTTTAAATGTAAAAAGCCCACAGAAATTAAAGTTTGTATGAGTGTCATCTTTTTAAAAATGTTCATCTTATTTCCTTTTATTGTGTAATTTTATGTACAGAAATGACAGTATATTCCTGAGAAGTGGTGATTCTAGGAATTATTATTATTTTTTTAATATTTTATTTTTCCTTTTTCTCCCCAAAGCCCCCTGGTACATAGTTGCATATTTTTAGTTGTGGGTCCTTCTAGTAGCAGCATGTGGGATGCTGCCTCAGCATGGCTTGATGAGTGGTGCCATGTCTGCACCCAGGATCCGAACTGGCGAAACCCTGGGCTGCTGAAGTGGAGTGTGTGAACTTAACCACTTGGCCATGGGGCTGGCCCCGGGACTAATTTTTTTATAACAGCTTTAAAGTGTACAATTCAATCGATTTTGGTGTATTCACAGAATTTTGCAACATCACTACAATCAGTTTAGGAACGGCCAGACTGTTTTCTAATGTAGTTCCACCATTTTACATTTCCACTAGCTATGTATGAGGGTTTCAGTTTCTCCACTTGTCAACACTTGTCAACACTTGTTATTTTCCATCATTTTTATTTTAGCCATCCTAGTTGGTGTGAATGGTAGCTCATTGTGGTTTTGATTTGCATTTCTCTAATGACTAATAATGTTAGGCATTTTTGCATATGCTTACTGGCCATTTGTATATCTCTTTGGAAATATATTTGAATGTCTGTTTAAATCCTTTCCTCATTTTTTAATTGGGTTATTTGTCTTTTTTATTGTTGAGTTGTTAAGAGTATTATATGTCTTACTGTATTTTTTGAAGTATTACCTTATTTGCAAGACTAATTTTTTCTCCTCTTTTTGGAAGGTCCTGTCCAAAATGCACTGATGTCTTCGCAAGTGTCAGTGAGCCAAGGATATAATTCTCAACTTTCAGGATCCTACCCTCATCCAATACCAGCAAAGACTTTGAATCCAGTTTCTGAACAGCCTAACTATGGTGATTCTCAGACTGTTTCTCCATTAAGTAATTATCAGGGACCTGGGCGGACTATTAATAGACCTCCTGTGGCTTCTAATCCAGTGACAGGTTCACTTCATAGCGGTCCTGTTCCCCGAATGCCACTACCTACTTCTCAGAACCCAGCTGCTACACCCATGCCTTCTGGTAGCTTTCTTCGTGGAGCCAACATACCACCACCTTTGAATTGGCAATATAACTATCCATCCACAGGCTCACAAACAAACCGTTGTCCTCGTGCGTCATCCCAACCAACTCTGTCTGGGAATACAAATTCGACAAGTCATCAATATGTTTCTTCTGGAGATCCTTCACTTCAAAACAACTTCATAAAATCAGGTAGAGTTCTTATAGGAGTGCTTAAAATGTAGAAATGGGGGACAAAGAGAACAGATTAGTGGTTACCAGAGGGGAAGGGGTTTGGGGGGTGCGCAGAAGGGGTAAAGGGTCACATGTATATGGTGACTGACAAATAATAATGTACAACTGAAATTTCACAATGTGATAAACTGTTATGACCTCAATTAAAAAAAAGTAGAAATGGGGAACTTTTGATTGTTTAGATGTTTGAGTTAATATTTCAAGTCTTAAAACCATATGGAAGACTATTGATTTTTAAAATCATTGTTTATTTTTAAATAAATTACTTCTCTAATCTTTGAATTAACCTAAAATCATGGGTTGTTCCTGCTTTGCTTCTTTCCTTTCAAGGTATCCTCTTTGTTTCTTTGGTCACCCATAATATTTCAGGGATTCAGGTATGCTTGCAGAACCACTTCCTTAAGGACTGGCCATTATTTTATTAACTGGGTTCCATTTTGTATTCTGGGGAAGCTCAATCCCTGTGTTCTTTCTTTGGTCTTTTTTTTTTTTTTTTCTTCTTTTTAGGAAGATTAGTTCTGAGCTAACTGCTGCCAGTCCTCCTCTTTTTGCTGAGGAAGACTGGCCCTGAGCTAACATCCATGCCCATCTTCCTCTACTTTATATGTGGGACACCTACCACAGCATGGCTTTTGCCAAGTGGTGCCATGTCTGCACCCGGGATGTGAACCAGTGAACCCTGGGCCTCCGAAGCAGAATGTGCGAATTTAACCGCTGTGCCACTGGGCTGGCCCCTTTCTTTGGTCTTGATCTGAGGCTTGGGCTGTCTTTTTGTTGTGGCTTAGACAGTTTTAGGCCCTAGATTGTAGGATCCTGGAGGGGCAGGTCAAAACAGACAATACTGTTGGAGTGAGGAGTGTTATTGAGTATAACTGTGGTCAGAAAGCAGTGGACAGAGATTTATATCTTTCTTTTCATCTCAGGGTTTTATAGTTTTAGCTCCTGCATTTAGGTCTTTTATCAATTTTGAGTTAATTTTTGTATATGGTGTTAAGTAAGATTTCAACTTCGTTTTTGTCTATGTGGATATGCAGTTGTCCCAGGACTATTTGGTGGAAAGACTGTTGTTTCTCCCATTGAATAATCTTGACTCTGTTGTTGAAAATCAATTGATCATAAATGTAAGCGTTTATTTCTGGACTCTGAATTCTATTCCATTGATCTGTATGTCTATCTTTTTACCAGTACCAAATATCTTGGTTACTGTAGCTTTGTAGTAAGCTTTGAATTTGGCAAGTGTGACTCCTCCAACTTCGTTTTTCTTTTTCAAGATTGTTTTTGCTGTTCTGAGTCCCTTGCATTTCTATAAGAATTTTAGGATCAGCTTGTCAGTTTTTGCAAAATTGGGATTTTGATAGGGTTTTTGTTGCATCTGTACATCAGTTTGGAAAGAAAGGTATATATGCTTTGACTTTCATTATTTTATTTTTTAACCTCAGTGTTTGGTCATACCTGGTTCAAAAGTAGGTTAACTTAACCATTTCACTATTCCTTTTTTACTTATTGAGGTTAGTGTCTTACACACTTATCAATATTAATAGTGTTACGTTGAAAAGTATTTAAAATTCTGTATTGGGATGTGCAGGTTGATTCTGCTCAGCAGATATCCTCAAGGAAATGAACTAGTGAAAGCTTCCAAGTGAAATAGTAATATCAGTAGTTAGGTTTTTATATTCATATGTATTTCTGTGTCTATATACTACATATACTTCGTCAGGCTTGTAGTTTGTTAACTACTGAAACTGTATTTTTCTTAGCCCCTTGACTAACCATTGGCTTTGGTGAGTGCACTTTGCATCTTGGCCTTATAAAGATTGTGGCTCCTTCTAGAAACTTAGTTTCTTTCTTTGTTTTTTTTGAGGAAGATTAGCCCTGTGCTAACATCTGTGCCCATATTCCTCTATTTTATATGTGGGATGCCCCCACAGCGTGGCCTAATAAGTGGTGCATAGGTTTGCACCTGGGATCCAAACCAGCGAGCCCCAGGCCACCAAAGTGGACGCACAGCCCATCTGCTGTAGTGCCGGGCCAGCCCCTAGAAACTTAGTTTCTTTGTCGAAATCCTCTGAACCACAGTTGTTACAACCAAAATCCTGCTTACTTTTGTTTTTATTCATTTGACAACCATGAGTGAGTATCAGTCACTTGAAATTAATAAATATTCACTTCATTATTAATAATTATAGGTAACATTTATTGAATATTTATTCCAGCACTTTACTAAACTTTTATATGTGTTATTTTATTTAATCTTTACAACAGTCTCTTTTACAGATAAGAAATGTTAGGCTTGGATAATTTGCCCAAAGTTGCAAGAAAATAGTTTGGGAAACTTTGTACTATTTAAAAACTATTTAAGAGTAGGTATAGCTTTTCATTAAAAAGCACATAATCAATAATCTGAAGTATTTTGGCTATAACAGAAGCTCTAGGTCGAGCACCTTGACTGTAGTACAGTTGTGAAAGAGACTTAAGTAAGTGCCAAAACCTATGAAGATTCCCATATAAAAGAAGGGGAAAGAAAGATTATATAAACTAATAAAATGAACTTAGATATATGACTATCCTACTTTTTTCTTATGAGACCTCTAAAAAAAGTCCTCATTTTTTACCTGTTTTTTTCCAACCTATTTTTGATAGTAGGTGCCCGATTGTCTGATCAAAACTGTATCTAACTTACACTGTTTCTAGTCAGAATATTAAAATTCTCTGACTTTTTTTCTAGTAGGGCACCTTTTAGCATCCTTACGTTAGCTTTAGGAATCTCAGAAGGCAGATTCTGAAACTCTAGCTATTAGTGTTATAAATAAGAATTATTCACCTTGAAAAAATAATGTCTATTTTATGAAATGTAGCATATTTTGGATTCAAAAATATTTTTCTTACAGCTGTGAAAAATCTCTATAAGTTCCCTTGCATTCAGTTAAACATTAGGTTGCTGCATCTCTGTGGCCAGATGTGTCATGTGTTCTTGTTCATGCTGAGTTGGTAATGTACCTTGCCCTTTTTGTTCCTTTGACTTGTCTCTATTGCCATAGATATGTGTGATGCTTCTTTGATAAGGGAGTTACGTGGCAGTAATCTTTGTCTTCACTTTTGTCAACAGTGCACTGATTATTAGTCTTGTAGAGAGCTGTAAGGTTTGGTAATATCATTTTTCAATTTGACCCTGGAGAATTGAACAATATTGAAGAAACATATTGAAAATTTTCTTATCTAGGTACCTTTATTCCTTTAGTTTTACAAAATACAGAGTTAACTGTAGACTATAGTGTAAGTAAAATTTATTACCTCTTTCACTTACAAATTCAGAGGATAAAAAACATCTTGGAATGAAAAATTAAATCACATACTTAACTGTAGTATTTTATCTACATTGTGGACTTTGTTCTTCCTCTGTGGCATATGAGAAGGTGGAAGCAATATTGTTGACTTGAATGAACACGTGGTTGTGGATTTTGAAACTGTTGACATCACATAGAAGAATTTCCCCAAGAATGACTTATAATTTTTTTACACCAGTCAGAACTTGTCCTAATAGAAAATTGGTGAAATTGAGATACTGGTAGATACAAGGACAAATACCATGTCATTCTTAGTTTAGTTTGATGGGTACTTTTAAACCTCTTGGATGACAGTATTTTATAAGGTATATACAGAAACTTTGGATTGTTTCCTGATTTTTAAGCCAAGGGAGTGTTCTTAATATAGTGTTTAAACCATTATTGAACGTAGGCTACTTTTGATTATTATTAGGTAAACATTGAACAGTGTAAAAATTTATAATCTCATTTTTAACGGGTTATACCCCCCGATAAAAATGAAGTGAAATGAAATAAAACTTGGAGAATTTAGAATAACCACAATATGGTTTTATAAAGCTAACTCTAAACCTAATTGATGTTAATTGAATGGACTATGTTAATAGGCCATTAGTAACATTTTATTCATGTTAATTTCTACAGGAATATTTGACATGGCCTGTTGAAACTCTGTAACCAGTTAATAAAAAATTAATAAACAAGGCATTGTATCTATCCTATAAGTGATTTGATGCTGAGTTTATATTTATATTTTTTTAATAATTGACAGATAAGCATGATAGGAGAGACTTGGAAATGTATAAAGTATGCATATAAATTAAAAAGTCATAAATCTGGGAACTTAACGTATTTCTGGTAATTTGTTGGGTGATTATAATTAAAATGTAAATTTGGTAAAAGGCTGTTTTGGCGTTTAAGTTCTTAAGTGACATGTGAAAAACCAATGTTTCCGTAGGTCCTATGCCCCCCTTAGTGAATCCACCTCTGCCTACCACATTTCAACCAGGAGCTCCTCTTGGGCCCCCTCCAACTGGAGGACCACCTACAGTGAGGGCCCTCACTCCTCAGAAATCATCACATAGAGCCATGCCCCAGCCCTCATTTAATTCACCTATCAACCAAGAAGGTAAGCACGGCAAAAACCAAGTCAAGATCTAAAGTTTTGACGTAGGGCGGAAGGATGAATATTATCTGGATTAGGTGCATCCAAATCATATTTTTCCAGAAAACGTTTTGGTTAGGGATGGCCTTCAGGAATTTAGACTTTAAAAAAGTTCCTCAGGGGCCGGCCCCGTGGCCCAGTGGTTGGGTTTGCGTTCTCTGCTGCGGCGGCCCAGGGTTTCACCAGTTCAGATCCTGGGCGGGGAAATGGCACTGCTCATCAAGCCATGCTGAGGTGGCATCTCACATGCCACAGCTAGAAGGACCCACAACTAAAAATACACAACTATGTACCGGGGAGCTTTGAGGAGAAAAAGGAAAAATAAAACTTAAAAAAAAAAAAAGTTCCTCAGAATTCTACTGCCCTGTGCTGGGCTATGGGCTATCATTTGGGAACCACTGCTGTTAACTTTTTTTTTATTGCTGTGCAGGTTTTAAAAATCATGCCTCTAAAGTTAGGTGCCTTTTGGGAGAGGGAGGTGAGAGGGGAATTCCTGCTTTTCTGGACATGGTGTTAGAACTACATTGGCTCTTTTCCATGGAAGCAGAATTTTGATTGCCACTATTATTGTAAATATTAAACAAATGTTTATGAGCCTAATGAAAAGTTAAATATACAAGCAATTTGAAGTTTTATATAAATAGTAAAATGTTTTAAAGCATTGTCTTCAGATGTAACTTTAAAATACAAGCTTATTTGGAGCCGGCCAAGTGGTTAAGTTCACGTGCTCCGCTTTGGTGGCCCAGGGTTTCTGCTGTTTGGATCCTGGCCGAGGACCTAGCATTGCTCATCAAGCCATGCTGAGGTGGTGTCCCACATGCCACAACTAGAAGGACCTACAACTAAAATATACAACTGTGTACTAGGGGGCTGTGGGGAGAAGAAGGAAAAATAAAATTAAAAAAATAATAAAATATAAGCTTGTTAATTTAAACAAAATATTTTGTAAAGGAAGAAATTTGATTTTAGCAGTAATATAACCATTGCAGCAAGATGTGGAAATAGGAAACAGAAGAGGAGGGGAAAACCACTGCTTGTATCCTACTACTGAAGATAATTAATATTATCATTTTTATATTTTCTTCCAGCATTTCCTTCTTTTAGTATTCTAAGTAGGGAAAAAACGACCTGTTAATAGTTTGAAAAGAGTGGTGGTTAACAGTGAGTAACAAAATGGTAAAGCAATATCGCAGTGGTTGCCACATTATAACTTTGAAAATCAAGCCTTGATAAATATTTAAATTTTTTTTTTTAAGATTGCTACCTGAGCTAACAGCTGTTGCCAATCCTTTTTTTTTTTTTCCTTCTTCTCCCCAAAGCCCCCCACTAGATAGTTGTATATTCTAGTTGTGAGTGGCTCTTGTTGTGCTATGTAGGATGCCACCTCAGCATGGCCTGATGAGCAGTGCAGTGTCTCCGCCCAGGGTGCGAACCAGTGAAACCCCAGGCGGCTGAAGCAGAGCGCAGGAACTCAACCACTTGGCTACAGGGCCAGCCCCTAAATATTTAAATTTTTAACCAAACTAAAAATATGCCCAATGTTTGTTTGTTTCTACAAACAGTTTTACTAAAGTTTTCTGTATCAACTCATGGCTAAAGTCATGGTGGTCTTGAGAATTGGAAGGAAGTTACTGACTTGATTGAAACCATTAGCCTTATCTGTTTGGTGTTAAAATGAATGTTAAAGTTAGCACCTTTGTACTTAGGTGGTAGAGGTTGATACTATTCGCTGATTTTAGTTTCTTCTGTCATCATAAATCTGCTATCATAAATAGCAGAGGTACCTAGAAATAAATTTGTGTTTCTTGTAAGCATATGTCCCTGGTATTTATCTTTAACTCTTTAAATAGGGAGAAGAACAAGTTAAGATTTTTATTTTATTTTAGTGGTAGTTCTCTAGACTAAGGCAATCTTTCTAACTTATATTGCCTTCAGATTAATTCTAGATTCCACTTTGTCCCATATTTTGGAAAAAAGGATTTTATTTTTTATTTTTATACTTTTTTTTTTTTGAGGAAGATTAGCCCTGAGCTAACATCTGTTGCTAATCCTGCTTTTTTTTTTTTGGCCCTATGCTAACATCTGTGCCCATCTTTATTTTATATGTGGGATGCCTGCCACAGCATGGCTTTATAAGCGGTGCATAGGTCTGTGCCCGGGAGACAAACTGGCGAACCCCAGGCTGCTAAAGCAGAGTGCGAGAACTTAAAGTGCTGCACCACTGGGCTGGCACTAAAAGATTTTTTATTCTCATAATTTTATTTTATCTTTAAATAGTTTTTATTTTGGTGATTTTTTTCAGTGTGAAATCTTTCAGATAGTATATAATTTTATTTAATTAATTTATCTTTTAGGAAGATCAGCCCTGCGCTAACATCTGTTGCCAATCTTCCTTTTTTTTTTCTCCCCAAAGCCCCCTCCGTACATAGTTGTATGTTTTTCTAGTTCTTCTATGTGGGATGCCGCCTCAGCATGGCTTGATGAGTGCTTCTAGGTCTGTGGCCAGGATCCGAACCAGCAAACCCCAGGCTGCCAAACCAGAGTGTGCAAAACTTAACCACTTAGCCACAGGGCTGGCTCTAGTATGTAATTTTATAAACACTAAAAGGGACCATCCTTTTTAGAAGTTTATAAAATTATTTGAAACTTTTTTATATGTAAAAACTTGCACCGTTTGAAATTTTTATTTCAACGTTTGACATTTTTCCTAGACTGTGGTTTGTCATTTGGAAAGTTATCTTAAATTTTAGACATTAGCTCAAACCTTGCAGAAATTGTAATAATTGTTCTAATTTAAATATTGTTAATAAACTTCCTTCTTAGGTATTACATCAAATACCAATAATGGATCTATGGTGGTTCACAATAGTTATGATGAAATTGAAGGCGGTGGCTTCTTGGGTGAGATGCTATAAAAGTTTTTTTGTTTTTGTTTTTTAAACATGTGTTCATTGTAAGAAACAAGAAGAAAACTTCATAATGATGTCATGCAACAGTACATGCTGTTAGCATTTTTTATCTTCATGCCTTTAGATTTTTTAATCATTTTTTGCTTCAGAATTAGGATCATGGGCTTTATCATTATTATGACTGTAGAGTATTTTTTATCAGTTCATATCTATTTAAATTTGTTTAACCAGTTGGACATTCAGTATATTTTCATTAAAATTGTTTTGAATTAGAATTTTAGTCTGAATGCAAAGTTTAGCACATGATAAGGAAGTAAATTAACTATACCAAACATTTTTGTGTGTTTTGGTGTTTACAGCTATGATCTACATTAACTAGATTTTAATCGTTGCTGTTACTCTGTTACTAGTGTTTGTCTTATTTTACAAAATTGATTAATGAAAGTGTTAAATTATCCAAAAGATTTTGGAGTTGCAACTCCTATGATTTAATGGATCTATGTTTGATTTAAAGTTTTCTGGAGTATAAAATAGAACTTAAAAGTTACCTTGTTTCTAGCAACACCACAGCTTACTAATAAGAACCCCACAATGAGCCGAAGTGTTGGATATTCGTATCCCTCCTTACCACCTGGTTATCAGAACACGGCGCCACCTAGTACAGCTGGAATGCCGCCCTCCTCCTTGAATTACCCAAGTGGGCCACAGGCCTTTACTCAGGTAAACTTCTTGGTTTTTTTTAACCTATTTTCCACTTTTTGGTTTAAACTGTATACACATGAAAAGGTTTTAGGGAGGTAAATGAACATTTTTAACAAATTAGAATAATAATGGAATATTTCATAAGGCCTTCATTGTATTACCTATCTCTAGAACCAAAAAATTGACCAGGATATCTAAATTACAGTTTTCTTATTTAGAGAGAAATTAAGTAACCAAGTTCTTATATATCTGTTTTCAACTAAGGACCTTATAAAGGCTATTTACTTTGAAATTATGTATCTTTAGGCTCCCTTCGGTGCTAGTCATTTAACTGCAAGCATGAGTGGATTAAGTCTACATCCAGAGGGGCTAAGAGTTGTCAATCTTCTTCAAGAAAGAAACATGCTTCCATCAACACCTTTGCAGCCTCCAGTTCCAAATTTGCATGAAGATATCCAGAAACTCAACTGTAACCCAGAGTAAGGCTTCAAACAGCATTTCGTATTAAATATGACATTTTGCTTCTTCTGAAAGTTTTCTAGATTTTTTTTTTGGAGCTTCATGTGTTATCAACAAGCTGTACAAATATATTAATTTATGAAAATAGTTCTGCATGCAGAAAACAGAACTCTGTTAGTTGCTTACTTAACTGATATTTGAATGTTCTAAGTCAAGAAATAGGGTTGTAACCCCTGAGCTGATTGCTGCTCTTATCAGCTCTAATCGACTGTGATATTCATTATCATTATGGTGGCTACATTATTTCTTCAAAGTCCAAAGTATGGGGATTTGATTCTGTATAATCCTTTATTTGCTCCTGTTTTGAATTGTTTTAAACAAACATAATTATAATACTATTTTCTCCCTTAAAATTGACCATAAATTTAAATATATGTGGTAAAGACTTTCTGGTAAGTTGAATTTTATTATTTTTAAATAGTCTTTTTAGAACCTTCAGCAAAACTGAACTCTTCAGTAATAAACTTAACTTTGCATTAGCAAATTTGGGTCATCACTTTGCAATTCTATTGTAATCTACATTTATATAAAGAAAAATAAGTCATTTGATCGTCTAGACTGAGAATAGACTTTGTTTTAGTTATGTATCTGTCTACCTTCTCTTTTTGAATAGGACTTAAATATTTAAATGGGATAAAATTTGAGAGGGCTTATTGAGATATTTCATTTGTAATCTGATCCAATCTTAAAATGTTTACCCTTAAAATCTTTTTTTTGTCCACAAATAATCATAGCAATAACTGATGCATGATTTTTACTTTGTAGGTTATTTCGATGCACGCTGACTAGCATTCCTCAAACTCAGGCCTTACTGAATAAAGCCAAACTTCCTTTGGGACTGCTGCTTCATCCTTTTAAAGACCTAGTGGTATGTTTTACTAGTGGAAGTAAATGACTTGTGGAAAATTATCTTAGTAGTGAGGAATTTTCTAAAATAGTGCAAGAATCACATAAAGAATTTATTTGAGCTATCTTTAGGAATCTGACCTTTGATAGATTCCTTTATTTGCAATTCAACCAAAAATTTTATTACCAAATCCTTTGAGAACGAGGTAAAATAAGCATATTGTTGAGAAATCCAAGAGGTACTGAATAGAATAGAGGTACTGAAACAAAATGAATAAATGAACCATACTATTTTAAAATGTAGATTATTTACCCATTAAAATACTTTACCCAGTCTCCCAGTTCTGCCATTCTTTGAGTAAAATTTGTTGCTTTAACAAGATTTTCCAAAAAAAATTAAGGTCCAAAGGCTCTTGGACCTTCATATATGGCCACATACTGTTGAGAGGATCAGTGCATAATTGAAGCGACTTTCCCAAAATAAACCTCCTTTTGGTGATAAGATTGTATTGCCTTTACTGATTTTTGATATTAAGACTTTAGAACTTTCAATATGTAGGATCAACTTTAAATAGGAACCTAACTACAAAATTTAATTGAATATTTAAATATAATTTAACCGTACCTTACTTTGATGACAATTCTCTTCTGAGAACCTAGTAAGCTTCTTAGCATAACGTGAAGAAACTTTCTAATAATTTCATTGGTCATTTATTTTAGAATGTTGATCCTTCCTTTACCATCTGTGTCAAAAATGCATTGTAAATTTACTGTGTTGGTTTGCAATGTAAATGTTTAATGAGAAAATAAATACTTTTAAAAAGCAAAATTTAATGAGAATGGTCGTGTAGAAAAACAACAGGGTTTAAAATCAATACATTTCAACTACGTTATGTATTTATTTATTTATTTGAGTTCATAATAGTTTACATCATTGTGAAATTTCAGTTATACATTATTTCTTGTCTGTCACCACTTAAGTGTTCCCCTTCACCCCCTGTGCCCACCCCCCTCCCCCCTTCCCCTGGTAACCATTGAACTGTTTTCGTTGTCCGTGTGTTTGTTTATCTTTCACGTATGAGTGAAGTCATATGGTGTTTGTCTTTCTCAGTCTGGCTTATTTCGCTTAGCATAATACCCTCCAGATCCATCCACATTGTTGCAAATGGGATGATTTTGTATATATTGTATATAGATATTGTGTGTATGTGTGTGTGTGTGTGTATATATATACCACATCTTCTTTATCCAGTATATATATATACCACATCTTCTTTATCCAGTCATTGGTCGATGGGCACTTGGGTTGCTTCCACATCTTGGCTATTGTGAATAATGCTGCACTGAACGTAGGGGTGCATAAGTCACTTTGAATTGTTGATTTTAAGTTCTTTGGATACATACCTAGTAGTGGGATAGCTGGGTCATGTGGTAATTCTATTTTTAGTTTTTTGAGAAATCTCCATACTGTTTTCCAGAGTGGCTGCACCAGTTTGCATTCCCATCAGCAGTGTATGAGGGTTCTCTTTTCTCCACGCCCTCTCCAACATTGGTTATTTTTTGTCTTAGTGATTATAGCCATTCTCACGGGTGTAAGGTGATATCTTAGTGTAGTTTTGATTTGCATTTCCCTGATGATTAGTGATATTGAAAATCTTTTCATGTACCTATTGGCCATCTGTGTTTCTTCTTTGGAGAAATATCTGTTCATATCCTCTGCCCATTTTTTGATCTTGCTATTTGTTTTTTTGTTGTTCAGTTGTGTGAGTTCCTTATATATTATGGAGATTAACCCCTTCTCGGATATATGATTTGCAGATATTTTCTCCCAATTGCTGAGTTTTCTTTTTGTTTTGATCCTAGTTTCTTTTGCCTTGCAGAAGATCTTTAGTCTGATGAAGTCCCACTTGTTTATTTTTTCTTTTGTTTCCCTTGTGTGAGAAGACATGATATTCGAAAAAATCCTTTTCTTTTCAGGAAGTTTAGCCCTGAGCTAACTACTGCCAATCCTCTTTTTGCTGACCCTGGAATCCGAACCGGTGACCCCCGGGCCGCTGAGAAGTGGAACATGCTCACTTAACCGTTGTGCCACCGGGCCGGCCCCCAAAAAGATCCTTTTAATAGTTTGATGTCACAGAGTGTACTACCTGTATTTTCTTCCAGAAGTTTTATGGTTTCAGGACTTATCTTCAAGTCTTTGATCCATTTTGAGTTTACTTTTGTGTATGACGTGAGATAATGGTCTACTCTCATTCTTTCACAAGTGGTTGTCCAGATTTCCCAACACCATTTCTTGAGGAGACTATCTTTTCTTCATTGTATGTTCTTGGCACCTTTGTCAAAGATTAGCTGTCCATAGATGTTCAGCTAAATAATTTTTTGTGAGGCAGTTTGGACACCTCTTTTTACTCTATCTTTTCCTCCAAAATTATCCCAACAATTATTTGGAAGTTATGGATTAATGCTTGACCTTTAGAAATGATGATCACTGCCTTTAAAATAGTTCTGTCTTTCTAGCAATTGCCTGTGGTTACCTCCAGTACAATTGTGAGATGCCGTTCATGCAGGACATATATCAACCCTTTCGTCAGCTTTCTTGATCAAAGGAGATGGAAGTGTAACTTATGTTACCGAGTCAATGATGGTATGTTTTTCTCAAAATGTTTCAAAATTTTGTACTTGCATCATAGGGAAATCAGATAATACAAATGTGAAGTTCAAAAAAAAATCTGTCTTCTTTACCTGTAATCCTTCCACTCGGAGGTGATTTCTGTTAACTTTTTTCTATCCATTTATACTTATATATAAATAATTATGTACTTTTTAAGCAAAAAATGTGGTAATATTACTTTGATAACCACTTTTTTACATTTATTATATTGAGTATATGATAAACGGCATATTTATGGTATTATTTAAGCCTGTAATTTAAGAAATATTTTTATTTAGAAATTGTCCCATGCCTTTTCTCTAGGGTGAAAGAAATAAGTCCACAGAATAGCTACCATTAGCTTCATTCACTGCTGTATGAAGGGAGGTGGGCAGTGCTAGAAGGTTAGTTGAATGTGATTTTCTCCGTAAGTGAGGAGGAGGAGATCTCTTTCAGTAACTCTTTCACAATTTTTATTTGAGGAATATCGTCTAACCAAAAACGTTCTGTTAGGATTAGAGAAGAAAAAGCTATGCTGATATGCACATTGAAAATTAGGTCTCTGGAAGGAAATTTCATTAACCATTGGGAAATAGAGAAATTTAAGAGATTTTTAACAATCATTTTTATTGTGTGTATTTGTGTGGTAAGAGTAGAGGAAAGTGAGGATAGGGTAAGAGCTTTTTTTTCACTCTAATAATTCAGAAAATGTATGTATAGTGTGTTGCACAACTTTAAAATCGTATGTATATGTGCTTCATTATATGAAATGAAATTGTAATAAAGGCTGAAGTTAACTTTCATGTGCAGCCCAGACTATTTCATGAACTATGGCTTACCCTTTAGCATACAAGGAATTTGAATTTCTATGTAGTTACTGGGAAGACAGATGCAGTGATAATTGATTTAGAAAATACTTTTTGAGCACTAGTGTATTGTAAGTGGTAGGCAACTGATATTCTATATCAGCCTCATTAATTAATGAAACTCACAAAACTTTAGGCTTTAACCTTTGACGTATTTTTACCATAGCTTTGTAGGGGCAGTCAGAGTCTGTACATTTAGTCTTAAATTTAAGAAAATAATTGGCATTTAATTTTTTTTTTTTTGAGGAAGATTAGCCCTGAGCTAACATCTGCTGCCAATCCTCCTCTTTTTTGCTGAGGAAGACTGGCCCTGAGCTAATATCCATGCCCATCTTCCTCTACTTTATATGTGGGATGCCTGCTACAGCATGGTGTGCCAAGTGGTGCCATGTCTGTAGCTGGGATCCAAACCGGTGAACCCCCAGCCACAGAAGTGAAACGTGGGAACTTTACCGCTGTGCTACCAGGCTGACCCCTGGCATTTAATGAGTTTTTATCATCCTTTCCAGCTATTTTAGGAAAATAGCTTTAGTAAGAATTAAGAAAAAGAAGATATTGTAAGATAGGAAAAGAAAAATCACAATGATTATAGTAGTAATAGCAAGACATACTTAGTGCCATTCAGTATAGGGGGAACTCAAATGTAACTAAAAAGCAAAGTGTATTTATCCCCTAATATTTAGTCTGTATTGAATTATTTGTAAATCCCTAAATCAAGAAAACAGCCAACTGCAAGTTATATTAATCTTAATCCTTTCAGTTTTGTAATGATATGTTGTTAACTTATATAGTTCCTGAAGAATTCATGTACAACCCTTTGACCAGAGTCTATGGAGAACCTCACAGAAGACCTGAAGTTCAGAATGCTACTATTGAGTTTATGGCTCCTTCAGAATACATGGTAAGCTTTCATTTTTTAGATACCATATTTATTTCATAATATTGGGTTTTAAATAAAACAATATAGCATCCTTTAGCAAAATTTTATGTTTTTAAATTCATAAAAATTATACTTGTTCAGTATAAAAGTAGTGAATTAGTATATGAGGGTAAGTTTGAAAAGTAAAAGTGTATGTAAAGTTCCACTTATGTTTCTTGTGTATCTACCCAGAAATTTGCAATATGATATTGGAATCATATTTACTTTTAAGTTGCTTCCAGTTTTTTTCTGTTACAAATAATGCTGTGATGAACATCTTCTTTCAAGTACTTTTATACACTGTGCGAGTATCTTAGGTCTTGTATTTTAAAAATAATAATTATGCCTAATATTTAATTAGCATTTTACAAAGCACTTAAATATTTTTGGTCATCATAAACAGCTTTTTGAATTAAGCTAGGGAAATGCTGTTAATCCTATTTTACAGATGTGAAAACTAACTTAGTTAAGAAACTTGCCAGATATCTTTTAGTAAGTGGTAGAACTCGCATAGAAATCCAGACCTTTTGATCTGGTTCCTCTTTCACCATGCCATAATTCCCCCTAAGCAAAGGGAGTATGGAGATACAACTTAACACCAACTTTTCATGTTTTATTTCAGTATATTTTTGTGGCATAGTCTCTTTCTATCTGGGCAATTGGGACCATTTTAGTATAGAAATTATGAGGGCTCAGTGTCTTTACCACGGAGATGTTTCAGTATAGAAAATAGTTTTGTGATACTTAGGATGATAGCTTTTTGCAGTGTAGCTGTCCCTTTGTTGAATTAAAACCAAAAAATCAGAAGCATTTGCTCTTTTGAATTGGCCTTCCTGGGTTTCTTTTATGTCCCAGGTTTTGCAAAAATAGCTTCCTTTGAATTTGGAAACTTGCCTATAGCAGCAAGAGGTTTTGCTCCTTCCCAACTTAGCTCTTGGGCAACAGATTCTACGAATTCGACAAGTGATACATGCACAAAAGTATACAACTTAGTACACTACTGCCTGCCCAATTCTCGGTGTGATTATTTGATGCTTTTGAGTGAATTGACAATAAATCTTTGAATTTGGAACAATAGTTATACATTTTTTATGGAACTTGGCTGAAATGCATTGTTTCAGCACAGGCTAACTTGATTTGTCACTTTCAGAACTGTCATTTCTCTAAATCGTGAAATATAGTGCACATATGGAAAAATCTATAAAACATAAACATATAAGTTACCAAATAACTATAAACACCTGTGTTATGGGCTGGCCCCGTGGCTGAGTGGTTAAGTTCACGCACTCCGCTTTGGTGGCCCAGGGTTTTGCTGGTTTGAATCCTGAGCACGGACATGGCACCGCTCATCAAACCATGCTGAGGTGGCGTCCCACATGCCACAACTAGAAGGACCCACAACTGAAAATACACAACTCTGTACCAGGGAGCTTTGGGGAGAGAAAGGAAAAACAAAATCTTTAAACAACAACAACAAAAAACACCTGTGTTAACACCTCCCAGGTCAAAAAATTGAACACTGGGACCGGCCCGGTGGCCGAGTGGTTAAGTTCCCATGCTCCACTTAAGGGGCCCAGGGTTTCACTGGTTCGGATCCTGGCCGTGGACATGGCACCGCTTCTCAGGCCATGTTGAGGCGGCATCCCACATGCCACAACAACAAAGACCCACAACTAAAATACATAACTGTGGGGACCGGCTCCGTGGCCGAGTGGTTAAGTTCGCGCGCTCCGCTGCGGCGGCCCAGGGTTCGGATCCTGGGCGCGGACATGGCACCGCTCATCAGGCCACGTTGAGGTGGCATCCCATATCCCACAACTAGAGGGACCTGCAACTAAGATATACAACTGTGTATGGGGTGGGAGGGTTGGGGAAATAAAGCAGAAAAAAAAAATTAAAATATATGACTGTGTGCTGGGGGGATTTGGGGAGAAAAAGCAAAAAAGAAAAGAAGATTGGCAACAGTTGTTAGCTCAGGGGCCAATCTTTAAAAAAACAAACAAAAAGAAATTGAACATTGCCAATACTCTCAGAAGCCCTTCTTATCACATTTCCTCCCCGTCCTGTTCTAGAAAAAATACTCCTCTGACTTATGGCAATCACACCTTTTTTCTTTTTCTTTTCTGTACAACAAACTATACATTCACATTTTCATTTTATTTTAGTATGCATCTGAAAACAATATAATAGAGTTTTGCCTGTATTTTAAACTTCTCTTCTTTCTATATTATTTTCTTAATCCATTATTGTTTATGATAGTCTACACTTAATCTGTAAATAAGCTTATTTTATTATTTTTGCTGTATGTGGACATGACAAATGATAAGTTTAAATTTAACCTTGTTAAATGTATTTAATGAGATCCTTTTTTTCTTCAGTTGCGACCACCTCAGCCTCCAGTGTACCTCTTTGTGTTTGATGTGTCTCACAATGCAGTTGAAACTGGATACTTGAATTCAGTTTGCCAGAGTTTGTTAGACAATCTGGATTTGTAAGTATCTTAATTCAGCTTAAATTTGGAACTAACAGTGTTTGCAAAGTGAATAAAGGCGTTTCAAAATACAAAAAAAAAAAAAAACCTGTGTAATTATGTTCAAAAAGTCCACTTAAGTCAGTTGTGAACTAGGCCTCACTTTCTCTGAGAAACATTAATTTATTTTAATTTTTTATTATGGAAAAGTTTCAAACATATAGTAAATAGAAAGAATGTAAGGAAGTTCCAGTTACCCATCCCTCAATTTCAACATTTTTAGCATTCAGCTATTCTTAGTTCATCTAATCCCCCCAACACACACCCTTTTTTCCCCATCGAGTATTTTAGTGCTGTTCTCCATCAGTATATCATCTTACCTATACATACTTGGCATTATTTTTAGGTCTAACTGAAATACAAGTATCACGCCAAACAAAATTAGTAATAATTCTATAATATGATCTAATACTTCAATTTTTTTTTCCTGGTTGTCTCAAAAATGTTTTTTTAGTGTAGGTTTGTTGGAATAAGAATCCAAACAGTATCTACACTTTGCATTTGGTTGTCATATTTCTTAAGTGTCTTAAAATAACTGTACTTTAAATGGTGCTTAGATACTTAGTGTAACCCATAAAGGCTACTGTGCCCATTCAGTATAAGAAATATAGTGCTCTTGTGTGGTATGTAAGAATGTGGAGGACCAAATCTCATCAGAAATGGACTAACTCTCTCATCTTTGTGAAAGGGGCATCCTTGTTCTTGCCGGTATTTGTATTTTTAATGTTGTAGCTTCTGAATGGGGATTGTCTGTTGATGAGAGAGTCTGCTAATTCACCCTAGCATGAGCAGTAAGAATGAAAACTTGTCTTGCCCCTTAAAAAACTGTAGGTTCACATATTTAAGTTTTTTAAAACAGATCCTTTTGCTGCTCTTCTTAAATGAATGCATTAAATAATATAAAGAGAGATTTGAGCAAATACATACATATATACACACACACACACATATATATATATATATATATATTTTTTTTTTTTGGTGAGGAAGATTAGCCCTGAGCTAACGTCTGCCACCAGTCCTCCTCTTTTTCCTGAGGAAGACTGGCCCTGAGCTAATATCTGTGCCCACCTTCCTCTATGTTATATGTGGGATGCATGCCAGAGCATGGCTTGATAAGCAGTATGTAGGTCTGTGCTGAGGATCCGAACCTGGGAACCCTGGGCTGCTGAAGCAGAGTGTGCGAATTTAACTACTATGCCACTGGGCCAGCCCCAAGAGCAGATTTTTTTAAAGATATGCAGTACCTAAACTTATATTACATTTTAGAGTTGGTTTATAGTATAAACAGTATATATTTGAAGTATTTTTTATAAATTAAAATCATCTACAAAGTTTTGTATATATTTTCCAATATTTTTTATATACCGTTTCCTAAGTGATTTATATAACTTTATATGGGTGTAATGGGTTTTGGATTCCTGTATTATTGCCAGGTTTTATTGATTGTTTGGCTTATGTGTAGTGTTTTCACTTTGAGTAGAGTGTGTTTTCACGGTGATTAAACATTGAGTGGCTTAAACATTTATTTTGGGACAATTTCCATAATATGAAAGAAGATATTTGTAACTTTTAGGAGATATTTTATGTATGTGTGTATATGGGAAAACTTGATAAAATACTCTTCTGAATTTGTTTTTAGACTTCCTGGCAACACTAGGACAAAAATTGGCTTCATAACATTTGATAGTACAATCCACTTCTACAGTCTTCAAGAAGGTCTCTCTCAACCTCAGATGCTAATAGTTTCAGATATTGAAGGTATATATTATATGCTTAAAATTATCTAATTGCCTTAGGAATTTTCAGTTTTAGAAATATTTCATCATTATTTGACCAATTAGGAGTGTACAGTATGATTCTACTATTTTGAGGAAAACTTTGAATATAAAATCTAAGGTTGTTGGAATTTTAAGAGTCCTTCAGTCCAATCCCTCATTTTATAGAAGAGGAAACAGAATTATGGAGGTAAAGTGAATTCTGAACAAGGCAACAAAAACAAGTTAATGTTAAAACTCAGATTAAATTTAAGTTTCTTTTTCCCTACTCTTTCATTCATTCAAAAGTATCTAAGGATAGACATACAGACGAATGGAGGATAGACATACAGACCAGTGGAATAGAATAGAGAACCCAGAAATAAACCATCACGTATATGGTGAATTGGTTTTTGACAAGGATGCCAAGACCATTCATTAGGGTAGTTTTTTCAATAAATGGTTCTGGGAAAACTCAGCATGCAAAAGAATGAAATTTGACCCTTACTTTAAACCATATAAAAAAAAATTAACTCACTGGATCAAAGACCTAAACTTAAGAGCTAAAACTATAAAACTCTTAGAATAAAACATAGGAGAAAATCTTCGTAAGATTGGATTTGGCAATAATTTCCTGGATATGACAACAAAAGCAGAGGCAACAAAAGAAGTAAGTAAGTAAATAAGTAGAACTTTATCAATATTAAAAACTTTTGTACATCAAAGAACACTATCAAGAGAGTGAAAAGACAACTTATAGAATGGAGAATATATATGCAAATCATGTATATGATGAAGGATTAATATCCAGAACATATAAAGAACTCCTTAACTTAACAACAACAAAATAAACACAATTCAAAAATGGACACGACTTGAATAGACATTTCTCCAAAGAAGATGTACAAATGGCCAATAAGCACATGAAGAAATGATGAACATCATTAGTCGTTAGAGAAATCAAAATCAAAATCACAGTGAGATAGAAGTTCACATCCATTATGATGGCTATTATCAAAAAAGAGGAAAATAAATTTTGGCAAGGATGTAGAAACCCTGGAACTGTGTTGCATTGCTGGTGGGTACATTCCAGTCACAAGGGCCTCATAGTGTGACTCCAATAATATGAAATGTCCAGAATAAGCAAATCTACAGACAAAAAGACTGCTGGCTGCCTGGAGCCGTGGGAATTGACAGGGAGATGAGGAGGGACTGCTAATATGTGTGGGGTTTCTTTTTGGGATGATGAAAAGGATCTGAAATTAGATAGTGGTGATGTTTGAACAACTCTGTGAATATATTGAAAATCACTGAATTGCATTTTCTACAAGGGTGAATTTTATGGTATGTGAATTGTATCTCAATAAAACTTTTATTTTTTTTAATTTTAAAGAAAAATGAAATTTAAACAGTTTACAGTAGAATTTTTATGTAACAGCTAAAGTAAATATATTTTAAATTATCTGTTAGTATTATTTTTTACAAACATTATAATGAGCCATTTTTTTTGGTAATAAACAACAATACAAAAATGTAGAAAGTGAGACTCCTCATTATCCACCACCACCACCCAAATTTCCTTGCCAGTTTGCTTCCTTCTAAGGAAGAGAATTTAATTCCTAAGCAAAAATAGATTTGAATCCTGAGAAGCTCATTTAATATGGTCAGTTAGCATACTTTGTGATTCACTTGATTTTGTAGTCCCATAAGTAGGGTCACTGGTAGAGGCCTTCTTGATGAGAAAGTATCTGCTTTTTGAATGACAGAACTGTTGGTGGGCTGTATTACTTTTATGTAAAGACATAGCGTTTTTCTTCTTCTTCTTTTTTTTGAGGAAGATTTGCCCTGAGCTAACATCCATGCCAGTCCTCCTCTACTTTGTATGTGGGTCTCCACGACAGCATGGCCTCAGACAGGTGGTATAGGTCCATGCCCAGGAACCAAACACAGGCCACTGAAATGGAGGGGGCTGAACTTAACCACTAGGCCACGGGGCTGGCCCCAGACATAGCGTTCTTGTATGTCATCTTAATCAACACCTTTTTAATGCTAAAAATATTTCTTTGGCTGGCTTCCAGGGCTAAGCAAGAATGTAAAGCAGGATTCTAAATTGTTGTCTTTAAGAAGTAGAGCACTTGTATGGACTCTTACAGACAGTGCTTACAGATCAATGTTTTCTAATTGGGAGGCTATTTACCTTTTATACGGTAACAGATAAGTTGTAATGAATACCTAAATCAGTGTTCTTTAAACGTATGTAGACAGTGCGGTAATAGAGGAGGAGGTAGCTTTTCTGTAAGTATGGGGGTAGATAATTATATCAGTGTTCTGTATTTGGAATACCGTTAACAATTAAGTTTTGTTTAAAGGAAACATTTTTTATTGTTTCAGATGTTTTTATACCTATGCCGGAGAACTTATTAGTAAATTTAAATGAAAGTAAAGAGGTAAGGCACATTTTCCTACCTGACATGTTTAATTGAAACATTGTAGGAATGTATTTTTGAAATGAGATTTAAGTAAAATTTTGCTTCTTTCTGTGACATTTCTAAGATGTGTAACATTTTATATTTGCTGTTAGTTAAAATTCATCAGATGAACAGCTCCTTGAGTTTGCCCTTGAACTGATTGCTTTCCAGTCTAATGTAGCAAGTTATTTGTAGTAGGGTAGAAGATAAGCCTGTTCCATAAAGGAGGAAAACCTGAAGGAAACCTGCCTTGCTGGCCATTTGGGAAAATGGGAGGGTTGCTGACGTAAGCTTCTGGTCACTACATAGAAGCACTTCAGCTAGGCTGCTTTCAGTGCCCTTTGCTTTTCTGATTCACAGAGTGTCATTGGGGTCAGTTCAGAAGAAACTCTTATTACCTGCCTGGAAATTGCCATGACATAATACAGTGAGAGGTGAACAGAATGTGTCTGAAGTGGGGATGTTGTCTACCCTGTACATGCATATATGCCGTAGGGGTAACATTTTAACTAGCAAGTCTATGGTCTCAGCTGTTGGCAACGGTGACTTTGCCATAGTGCCAAGTCTTTTTTTCCCATTAACTCTCTTTATTTGTACAACCTAACCTGAATAGGTAGTTATTTTTTGTTTTTTTTTTTCTTTTGTAGTGATATTACTAGTTGGCAAATTTACTGGCTATCTTAGATTTTACAATAGGGAAGAGTTAAACTCACTTTGGAACCGAAAAGACTAGTGTGTAGAGGTGATTGAGAAGGCCATATTTCATGGCATTAAAATAAATCAAATCTCTAAACTGTGATGGTTCTTTTGGATACATTTTGGACTTATAGTCTTGCTGGACTGCTGCATGTGCAAGAACTGTAAGGCCCCAATTTCGATTTGTCTTGCTTGCCAATTTATAATGTTGACTTAAAATGGCTTTCTTGTCATTTGACCAACTTCATTGTTTACTGTACTGTCTGTAAATCCTCTGACCATCATCATGACTCAGTGTCCTGTCTATCATATTAGTTACTGACTTATTGTGAAAAAAATTTTAATTGTAACACTCTTGAATTTTCTTGCTTTATTTCACAAGCTTGTCCAAGATTTACTGAAAACTTTGCCGCAAATGTTCACCAAGACCCTGGAGACCCAGAGTGCCTTGGGTCCTGCACTTCAGGCTGCCTTTAAGTTGATGTCCCCAACTGGTGGTCGAATGACTGTCTTTCAAACACAACTCCCAACTCTTGGAGTGGGAGCCCTGAAACCACGAGAGGAACCCAACCAAAGGTCATCGGCTAAGGTTAGAAAGTCATCAAATGTATAAGATTTATGTTGGTGCTCTGTCCCTTTGACCACAGAGCTTGTTTTTTATTTATTTTTCAGTTGTGGAGAGGAGAGGATATAAGGAAATGGATAAAACATTTCTCTTTGATGTAGACATTTCTATTTTATTAAATTGTTTTCTACCTGATTCCCTGTGATGTTCTTTTTAGATCTTTAACAGGCCAATAGCAATGCAGCCTGCCTTTGATGAGAAAGTCTGACAGATTGAGAGAATATGCTTGCTAGGGATCCTGGATGACCAGTAAAATGTAGTCATAGTTTGGTATATTGACTGCCATAGGATTGCTTTTGAGCATGTTGTGTGTATAAACTTAGTTTGGGATGTGTATTTCTCAAAGGATTATGAAAGTGAGGCCATATACATACTATAATGATTATGATGTCAGTCCTGGAGTCAGTCTGCCTAAGTTCCACTGCTTTTTAGATTTGTGATCTTGAATGATTACTTAATTTCTTTGCCCCTCTGTTTCCTTATATTTATAAAGTGAAGATAATGATAGCACCCACCTCTTAAGGTAGTTGAAAGGACTGAATAGATATTACATATGAATTGTTTAGAACAGTTTCTAGCATATTAAGCATTTAATAGATTATCCAAATTAGTATAACAGATGTATTTTTTAAAAGTAAAACAAAAAAATTAGAAAATTCTTAATGGTACATGTTTCTTACTGAAAACCCAGAAAATATTACAAAGCAAAAGGATTTTGCAGCATGCCAAAGGATGGCTGTTAACACCTTGATATATATAGATAGGTATTTAAATTTTATGACAATTTAATGATTTTTAAATTGTTCTCTTTGTAATTTATTATTAATAGGAAATTCACTTAACACCATCCACTGACTTCTATAAGAAATTAGCTTTGGACTGTTCTGGTCAGCAAGTAGCCGTTGACTTATTCCTTCTCAGTGGACAGTATTCTGATTTGGCTTCTCTGGGTAAGTTCTTCCTAATGATTATGTATCTCAAATGAACGTCAAAGTGGTATTTATATGATGGTATTCTAAATAGAGGACAAAGTGAAAGAATTTTTATTCCCTTGGGAGAGTTAGTTCAGTCTATTATAAATGTTATAGTCTTCTATTCTAAACATTTATAATAGAGAGATTTCTACACTACTGTTTAAGGGAATGAAGTAACTCTTTTTTGACGATGCCTTGGGAGATTAAAGAAAGATTGATTCAATGCCTGTAGTTACTTTGGTGTAGTATTAGTAGTTAATGGCAGAATTTAAAAGGAGCATATGTTCCCTTCCAGGTTGTATTTCTCGGTATTCAGCAGGTAGTGTCTATTACTATCCCTCTTACCACCATCAGCACAATCCAGTCCAAGTACAGAAGTTACAGAAGGAACTACAGAGATACCTCACTCGGAAGATAGGCTTTGAGGCGGTTATGAGGATTCGGTGCACCAAAGGTGGGGACACTTTCTTTTACATTTGTATTAGAGTAAATGTTGCTTTTGATACCAGTAAATACACATTTTTACGTCTTCTAAGATGTTTTACTTACTCTTATAGAATATACAATTAAGAATAGAGAAGAAACATTGAAAAAGAAAAATAGAGGGGCCAGCCCCGTGGCTGAGTGGTTGGGTTCTCGCGCTCCGCTTTGGCGGCCCAGGGTTTCATCGGTTCAGATCCTGGGCGCGGACACGGCACTGCTCATTAGGCCACATTGAGGTGGCGTCCCACATGCTGCAACTGGAAGGACCCACAACTGAAATATACAACTATGTACTGAGGGGATTTGGTGAGAAAAAGCAGGAAAAAAAAAAATGGAGACTATTTTGAATATACTAAAAACCACTGAATTGTTCACTTGAAAGGGGCGCTTTTTATGGTATGTGAGTTGTATTTCAATGAAAAAAAATCATTTCCAAAGAAAATAAATCACACTAATGATGAATTTTTATTCCACTTATTGAACAGTAGTAGTTGGAGATCTTTTTTAAAAACAATTATTTTTTAAAATTGTGGTAAAGTATATGCAACATAAAATTTAACATTTAACCATTTTTAAGTATACAAAAAAAATAAATGGCATTAAGTATATTCTCATTGTTGTGCAACCATTACCACATCTCCTAAAGTTGGAGATATTTTAATTTGTGCTCTTCTCACCCTATACCTGCTCCTAACACCTTGCACAATATTGCATTGAAAGTAGTCTGACAGTTTCAGAATGCTTATATCCAGTTTGTTTTTCAGGATAAATGTTTTGTGGCTGCTAAATGTTAACTATTTTCTTATGAAAATGAGATATTATAATTCTTTTTTTTTTAAAGATTTTTTAAAAAATTTTTTTCCTTTTTCTCCCCAAAGCCCCCTGGTACATAGTTGTATATTCTTAGTTGTGGGTCCTTCTAGTTGTGGTATGTGGGACGCCGCCTCAGCTTGGTTTGCTGAACAGTGCCATGTCTGCGCCCAGGATTCAAACCGACAAAACACTGGGCCTCCTGCAGCGGAGTGCGCGAATTTAACCACTCGGCCACAGAGCCAGCCCAAGATATGATAATTCTTGATATTTCATTTCTCCGCATTGTCAACCTGGTTCTAATCTTTTATTGTTCTGTAAGAGGGCGTGAAACATTCATTTTTTTTTACGTGGTAAATATTTTCTTTTTTTTTCTTTCTTTTGTTTTTTTTTACTTATTTATGTTTATTCTTTTTTTAATTGAGTTAATGATAGGTTACAATCTTGTGAAATTTCAGTTGTACATTAATGTTTGTCAGTCATGTTGTAGGTGCACCACTTCACCCTTTGTGCCCATCCCCTACCCCACCTTTCCCCTGGTATCCACTAAACTGTTCTTAGTCCATAATTTTAAATTCCTCATATGAGTGGAATCATACACAGATTATCCTTCTCTCGCTGGCTTATTTCACTTAACATAATTCCATCAAGGTCCATCCATGTTATTGCAAATGGTATGATTTTGTTCTGTTTTACAGCTGAGTAGTATTCCATTTGAAACATTCATTTTTTAAAATGGAAAGAGTGCATGAAACGTATAGTTACAAAAAATAAGTATGAAAAGATAAGAATCCACAAACCTATCCACTGGATAGGTGTTGAAATCTATTGGTCAAACCATGTACTAAAAGAAGTTCTCTATTATCCATCACTGTAATAAAAAGAAGAAAATGGTTGAGTGAAACAACTGAAAAGAAAACGTGTATTCTCTTATAGTATAAGGTATCAAATAAACACTTAAGAGGTTGCAGCATCTCCAAATGACTCACAGATATTAGTGTCACCCATAACCAATCAGTTACCACAATAGCTTTCTGTTTGTTTTCTTTTTTAAGTAACAGCTTTATTGAGATGAAATTTGCATATCATACAATTCACCTGTTTGAAGTGTACAATTCAATGGTTTTAAATTTATTCACCACAATATATATTTACCACAATCAATTTTAGAACACTTTCATACTCCAAAAAGAAACCCTGTATCAATTAGCAGTTACTCCTTATTTCCCTGAAACCTGGGGCAGCTCTAGGCAACTGCTAGTCTACTTGCTGTCTCTATGGATTTGCCTATTCTGGGTATTTCATATTAATGGAGTCGTACAATATGAGATTCTTTGTGACTGGTTTCTTACACTTAGCCTAATGTTTTCAAGGTTCATCCGTCTTGTAGCATGTATCACTATTTCATTCCCTTTTTTTTAAAAAAATATTTCATTCGTTTCTGTTACCCAGTAGTATCCCATTGTATAGATATACCTCATTTTGTTTATCCATTCATCAGTTGATGAACATTTAGGTGGTTTCCACTTTTTGGATATTATGAATAATACTGCTGTGAACATTCGTGTAGAGGTTTTGGACATTTTCATTTCTCTTGGGTATGTACCTGGGTACATACTTGGGTACGCACGTTTAACTTTTTGAGGAACTGCCAGACTGTTTTCCAGCAGTTGCACCATTTTATATTCCCACTAGCAGTGAACGAGGGTACTGATTTCTCCACATCCTGTTGATACTTGTTATTGTTTTGTCTTTTTTTATTTTAGCCATCTTAGTGAGTGTGTTGTGGTATCTCATTGAAGTTTTGATTTGTATTTCCCTATTGATGAATGATGTTGAACATCTTTTCTTGTGCTTTTGGCTATTTATATGTCTTCTTTGGACAGCTGTCTATTCAGGGCCTTTTCTCATTTAAAAATTTGGTTTATTTGTCTTTCTATTATTGAGTTGTAAGAGTTCTTCATGTATTTTTAGATATAAGGCATCTATCAGATACATGGTTTGCGAAATTTTTTTTCCATTTCGTAGGTTGCCTTTTCACTTTCTTAATGGTACCCTTTGAAGCACAGTTGTTTTTAGTTTGGGCAATATCCTGTTTATCAATTTTTTCTTTTTCTGTTTATGCTTTTGGTGATAGAATTAAATCACTGTTTAATCACTAGAGATCACTAACATTTATACTTACATTTATACTTATATTATCTTCTAAGAGTTTTAGAAATAGATTTCTTATATTTAAGTCCTTGATTTATTTTAAGTTAATTTTGTATGTGTGGTAGGTGTTTGACTTCATTCTTTTGCATGTGGTTATACATTGTCCCAGCACCATTTGTTGAAAAGACTATTCTTTCCCCATTGTATTGTCTTGGTACCCATGTTCCCTTGTTGAAAATCAGTTGACCATAAATGTGAGGGTTTGTTTCTGGACTCTGACTTTTATTCTATTAATCTATATGTCTATCTTTATACCAGTACCAAACTGTCTTGGTTACTGTAGCTTTGTAGTAAGTTTGAAATTAGGAAGTATGAGTCTTCCTAATTTTTTTCTTCTTTCTCAAATTGGGTTATTTTGGGTCCCTTGTGTTTCCATATGAATTTTTGGTTCAGCTTGTCAGTCTCTGCAAAGAAGCCACCTGGGATTTTGGTAGGAATTGCATTTAATGGGTAGATCAATTTGGGGAGCTTTGCTATCTTAACAATATTAAATCTTCCTATCTACGAACATGATATGTCTTTCTATTTACTTAGGTCTTTAATTTGTTCTTTCAACAATATTTTGTAGTTTTCAGAGTAAAAGTTTTGCATTTCTTTTGTTAAATTTATTCCTAAATATTTTTTGATGCTATTGTAAATGGAATTATTTTTAAAATTTAATTGCTTCTTTATATAAATATAATTAATGCTTTGTGTGTTGGTCTTATATCCTGCAAGCTTGCTGAACTTGTTTATTAATTTTAATAGTTTTTTAGTGTTTATGTTTTAAAGGGCCCATTTGTTGTATCCCCATTTAAGATTAATGGACCTCAAAAAGTATTATTTCTGCAGATATTGGCTATAAATTAGGGGAAATATACATCCTAAAAGTGCTTTTAAGACTTTTTCTATTTAGCAGGACAGAAGCTATTTTATATGTACCTGACTTTGCACAAAGAAGTTGGGAGAATGCCAGTGAACCAACCTTTGCCCTCTTTCAAGAGTGCTTAATTTAATATATCTTTGTGGTTAACTTGCTTAGGTTTTTCTTTTTCTTTTTTATGATAAATTTTATTACAAATGAAATAATATGCTCTTGGTAAATGTTTAAAAAGGTACAGAACAAAAGGATAGAAAATGAGAAATGAAACTTAACCCAGTGTGTTCTACCTTAAAGTTTCTCATATGCTCTTGAAAAGTTTTCCTGTGCATATATAACCATATATTTTAGCCTTCGAATAAAAGCAATGGGAATCACATCTGGCTTCTTTTTAACCTCACCTTTCTATTTTTATACATACAGACCTACTTCCTTCTTTTTTTCTGATTACTGGTTTAGAGTTGGTTTTTATTTTACAAGCAAAATATACAGCTCTTCTTGTAAAAACATTATTGATAAAGCTAAAGTCCTGTTGTATCAGCTTTTCTGTGTGCGTACTTTAACTTTCACTCCATTCTTATGCAGTCACTGTAATCACGTTGGTGTATATGTCAGGCTTTTCTCTACATTTACATGCTTATGTACCTCTCCATGGAAAATCTATATAGTACAATGTATTCTCATGAAGAACATTGTACATGTTTTCAGCAAGTCTCCAAGGTCCAGTAATATTAATTTACAAAGATTGATCTCCTTCTTTTTTTTTTTTTCTGAGGAAGATTAGCCCTGAGCTAACAGCTGCCGCCAATCCTCCTCTTTTTTGCTGAGGAAGACTGGCCCTGAGCTAACATCCATGTCCATCTTCCTCTACTTTATATGTGGGACACCTGCCACAGTGTGGCCTGTTAAGTGGTACATAGGTCCGTGCCCAGGATCTGAACCGGCCAACCCCAGGCTGCCAAAGCGGACTGCAGAAACTTAACCACTATGCCACTGGGCCGGCCTCAGATCTCATTCTTTTTTAACTTCTACCAAGTATTCAGTAGAATGTACAAATGACAATTTAGTTATTTTCCTACTGGTATCTGTAGGATAAATTCTTAGATATGTAATTCCTAGAGTCAAAGTAAGTATTCATTTATAATTTTGGTGGATATTGCCAAATTATCCTCCAGAAAAGCTTTTTGAAAATATGAATTTCCACCTTGAATTAAGAAGATATCTGTTATTCCTCCCTTACCCTAATTACTGTATATTATCTAATATGATTCTGCTCCCAGTTCCAACATGTGGGTTGTATTTCCCCACACCACCAAGCAATTAACTCAATTCTGACACTATCAACCTGCAGAAAGCATCAAAACCCACAGGTTAAAGTTCAGTCTCACAAGACTACTGCCCTCCACCGCTGCCACCCAACACACACACTTCAGACGCCAACTGCAAGTCCAGGTTGTTACCGGATGGTTTTGTTTGGCTATAGATTGGAGGTTCCAATGACCCTTTCTTTCGGTTCGATTAATTTGCTAGAGTCGCTCACAAAACTCAGAGAAACATTTTACTTACTAGATTACAAGTTTGTTATAAAAGGATATAACTCAGGAACAGCCAGATGGAAGAGATGCATAGGGCAAGGTATGGGGAAAGGGAAAGGGCACGAAGCTTCTGGAACTTCATAATCTCTTCGAGCGCTCTATCCTCCCCGAATCTCCATGTGTTCACCAACCCAGAAGCTCTATGAACCCCATCCTTTTGGGTTTTTATGGAGACTTTATTACATAGGCATGATTGATTAAATTGTTGGCCATTGAAACTGATTTAACCTCCAGCCCCTCTCCTCTCCTGTAGGTCTGGGGGTGGGTGGACTGAAAGTTTCAACCCTCTAATCACATGGTTGGATCCTCTGGCAACCAGCCCCCATCCTTAGTTACCTTGACTTTCCAAAAGACGCCTCATTATGGGCCAGCCCCGTGGCAGACTGATTAAGTTTGTTCGCTGTGCTTCGGCGGCCTGGGGTTTCACTGGTTTGGATCCTGGGTGTAGACCTAGCACCACTCATCAGGCCATGCTGAGGTGGTGTTCCACATAAGCAGAGCCGGAAGGACCTACAAGTAGAATATACAACTATGTACTGGGAGTCTTTGGGCAGAAGAAAAAGAAGAAGAAGAAAAAAAAAAGAGAAGAGTGGCAACAGATGTTAGCTCAGGTGCCAATCTTTAAGAAAAAAAGACACCTCATTAACATAGCAAAAGACATTTATCACTCTCATCACTTAGGAAATTCTAAGCATTTTAAGAGCTCTCTACCAGAAACAGGCAAAGAACAAATATATCTTATTATAAATCACAATATCATATCAGAGCTTTTTACTCTTTGCCAGTCTGATAAGTGACAAGGTAAAATGTAAATATCCATATGTAGATGTATATAAATCATTTTGATAAACTTCTCTCTTCTAGGTCTTTCCATTCATACTTTCCATGGGAACTTCTTTGTTCGGTCAACAGACTTACTGTCTTTGCCAAATGTAAACCCAGATGCTGGATATGCAGTACAGATGTCAGTGGAAGAGAGTCTTACTGACACTCAGTTGGTTTCCTTTCAGTCAGCACTCTTGTATACATCCAGCAAAGGTAAGTGTTTTTTTTAAATTGTGGCGAAAAACACGTAACATGAGATCCTACCCTCTTAAATTTTTAAGTGTACAATACAGTGTTGTTACTATAAGCACAATGTTATAGCAAAGGTAAGTGTTTTGATTTGGTCATGTAGTCTTTGGCTTGTGATGAACTCCCTCTTCTTTGAAGGTAATTACTCATTTCTACTAAGCAAAAGAGTATTCCTAATCTTAAGAACTTTCTTGCTGTTCCTGGTAAGGTCAAGATGTTTGGTATTGTTTTCCTTAACTATTTTATTTAACAGGTATTTATTGAGAGTCAACTTCGTGTCAGGCATTGAAATATGTTCTGATGACACAATGGTCAATAAAACTGAATAAAAAAAATCCTTTTCCTCATAGAGCTTATTCTAGTAGGGGAGACAGACAATAAAGAGGATTAATAGGTAAAATAATAGTACATTACAAAGAAATTAGTTACAGAGAAATATAAAGCAAGTAAAGGTTTTAGGAAGTGCTGGGGGGATGGTCTTTTAAGATAGAATGGCCAGGAAAGGCCTGACAGAGGTGACATTTGACTTAAGGTTTGAAGGAGCTCAATGGAAGATGAGAAACACTTTTTAAGGTATAATTTGTTTATTTCTAATTACTTGATAATGTGTTTTGTCCTAAGGATGATGTGAAGGCCGGTTAAATTTATTTATTTAAATTTTTTTTTAAAGATTTTATTTTTCCTTTTTCTCCCAAAGCCCCCCAGTACATAGTTGTATATTTTTAGTTGTGGGTCCTTCTAGTTGTGGCATGTGGGATGCTGCCTCAGCATGGCTTGGTGAGTGGTGCCATGTCCATGCCCAGGATCCGAACCAGCGAAACCCTGGGCCGCCAAAGCGGAGCGCACAAACTTAACCGCTTGGCCACAGGGCCGGCCCCTAAATTTATTGTTTTACAGATTCACCATTCTCATCCTCTAACTCTGTTTTATCTCCTTAAAGAAGAGTTTTGAGAGGGCTTCTGAACTATGTCTACTCACCTTTACAACCCTCCAAAGTCTATAAAAAGTGTGTAGTAAAGGCATTTTAATGAAAACCTTTAGTATTAGAGAAGTTTAGCTTTTTCATTAGGATTATAATTGACAGCATACCGTAAATATAAAAGTAAGATGGATTTCTGACCCTAGATATCATTTTTTATTTGACAAAAGAACATCTCAGTCTCCTTTCTGCTTATTGATTTTTTCTTAACATTAAAAAGAATAAATATGTAATTGACATATGGTAAACTCTACCGTTTTTTGTTTTTTTCTTTGAGGAAGATTAGCCCTGAGCTAACATCTGCTGCCAATCCTCCTCTTTTTGCTGAGGAAGACTGGCCTAGAGCTAACATCCATGCCCATCTTCCTCTACTTTATATGTAGGACGCCTGCCACAGCATGGCTTGACAGGTGGCGCGTAGGTCCACACCCGGGATCTGAACAGGCTAACCCCAGGCCACCAAAGCGGAACGTGTGAACTTAACTGCAGCACCACCAGGCTGGCCCCTCTACCATTTTAATGTACAGTTCCACAAGTTGTGACAAATGTGTTGTGTAACCACCACCACAATCAAGCTATCACAATCAGTTCCATTACCCCAAAAATCTCCTTATGTTTTTGTGGTCAACCTCTGTCTTGTTCCCAGCCCCTTGCAACCATTGATCTGTTTTCTGATGGTAAGAATGTCATATAAATGGAATCATATAGTAGGTAGCCTATTGTATCTGGCTTTTTTCACTTAGCATGGTGCATTTGAGATTCATCTATGTTGTTTCATCTACCAATAGTTTGTTACTTTTTATTACTCAGTAGTAGTCCAGTTTGTTTATTCACTTCCCAGTTGAGGTACAGTTGGGCTGTTTCCATCTTCTGACAATTTCAAATATATCCCCTATAAACATTTGTGTACAGATTTCTATGTGAGGATAATTTTTCATTTCACTTGGGTCAATACATAGGAGACGGATTGCTGGGTTGTATGGTAAGTATATGTTTAATTTTTTAAGAACCTGCCAAACTGTTTGCAAAGTGGCTGTACCATTTTGCATTCCCACCAGCAGTGTATGAGAGTTCCAGCTGCTCTCAGTGTTTAGTTTTTGTTTTGGGTCTGAGGGTTTTTGGTTTTGTTTTTAGCCATTTTAATAAAGTGTAGTGGAATCTCTTTTTGTTTTATTTTGTGTTTCCCTAATAAGTAATGTTGGATTCCTTTTCATATACTTACTGTTAGAAGTTTAGGTTGTTTCTCATGTTTTTTTTTTGGTCAAAAATGTGATTATAATTTCTATCCATGTATACAAATCTTTGGTCATTTCTGATAATTTCCCTGAGATGGGTTCCTAGAATTGGAAATAGAATGTATAGAGATCAACTGTTCAGAAAAATCTTGGTATTGCCAGAGTACTGTTCTGAAAGATTTTACCAGTTTGTAATCCCGTCAAGTGCCCTTTTCATTTCAGCCTTTGATTTTGTGGGTGTATAGTTGTTGTTGCCAATTTCATAGGCTAAACATTGTATCTTTTTTCTTTTAGTTATCAATGTTTTTAGCTAGAATAGAAGCTCTAGACAATGTTACACTTTTTTGTAGATATTATTTCTTCTCTTCAGAAGTAATTTGTATGAGCTCCTCATAATATACATTTTCATTAGTCTTCATGTGTCAATACAGGTCATAGTGTGGGTATCACCTCTAGTTTTTGGGTTTTTTTGGTGAGGAAGATTGGCCCTGAGCTAACGTCTGTTGCCAATCTTCCTCCTTTTTTTTTTGCTTGAGGAAGATTGTCCCTGAGCTAACATCTGGGCCAATCTTCCTCTATTTTGTATGTGAGATGCTGCCTCATCGTGGCTTGATGAGCAGTGCAGGTCCACACCCAGGATCCAAGCCAGCGAACCCCAGGCTGCTGAAGTAGAGTGTGTGAACTTAACCGCTATGCCACTGGCCTAGTCCCTCATCTCTAGTTTTTTAACTTGTTCTTTTTCTTTGGTGTTTAGGGTCTTACTGATTAGAAATTTAAGATTGACGTGATATTTGAAATTTGATGGTTCTCAAAAGATTTTCATTTTTGTTTTTTTTCTCCCCCCTGCTTTTTCTCCCCCCATTCCCCCAGTACATAGTTGTATATTTTTAATTGTGGGTCCTCCCAGTTGTGGCATGTGGGATGCCACTCATGTCCTGATGAGCGGTGCCATGTCCGTGCCCAGGATCCGAACCAGTGAAACCCTGGGCTGCCGAAGGCGGAGTGCGCGAACTTAACCACTCAGCCGCGGGGCTGGCCCCTTCTTTCTTGTATTTATTGATTTTTGTTGTTTTGGGTAATTACCAAAGAGAATTGTGACTATTAGTTGCTTTCTTTTAAGTTGTTTTCTGTGATTAAGGAGAAAAGTATAAGATTTCTCTGGACTTTAAATATCAAAACAGACTCTAGAACACATGTTGGAGTAGTATTGTCTTACAGTATATATATTAACTCAAATTTTTTTTTTTGCAAAAAAAGATAAAGTAACCAAAAAGTGTAGAAAAGAGATTTTTTTTAAAAGCTAGCATGCTACCATCATTTGAATACGATCCCTATTGTCTTTTCACTAATAACTTGGACAAAAACAATTTCATAGTCCAAAAATAGAAGAAATAAAACTAGAGTTTTCACTCATTAAACTTCTGATACTATTTCTGCTTACTATATAACCCTTTTTGGTTCTAAATACCTATTTGAGACTCTGTTTGGTTCTGAAAATAAGTGATTTTTCCAAGTGACTTTAATATAAACTTTTTGTTTCCCTGTGCTGAGGAAGATTTGCTCTGAGCTAACATCCATGCCAGTCTTGGCCCTATTTTTTTGTTTAGTATGCAGGCCACAGGCACAGCATGGCTGCTAACAGAGTGGTGTATGTCTGTGCCTGGGAACCGAACCCAGGCTGCTGAAGTGGTGTGTGCTGAACTTAACCACTAGGCTACTGGACCTGGCCCTAAATTTTTTTATATAGATATCTCTTACTATCATTTGTGTGTTTTCCCCAAAGGTGAAAGAAGAATTCGTGTTCATACTTTGTGTTTGCCAGTAGTTTCAACTCTGAATGAAGTCTTTCTTGGAGCTGATGTTCAAGCAATTTCAGGGTTACTGGCCAATATGGGTAAGAACTGTTATTATCTACTATTGTACATATTTTGCAAATAACAATATTAGGAAAATCGACATAGTTTTGTTTTCCTGTAAATAATTAGCTTAAGAGTTTTAGTGTTTTGGATCCTGTGTGTGCCTGCTAAGTAAACTATTTGAATGAAAGGATCTCCTACAAATAGCTTTTTCTTTCTTTGTTTTTTTTTAACTTAAATATCTTTATTGAGATATAATTTATATACTGTATCACTTAATCAATTTTAAGTGTAGAATTTCATTGCTTTTAATATATTTACAAAATTGTGTGGCCATTACCTCAATCTTATTTTAGAACATTTCTGTCACATCCGAAAGAACCTCATGCCAGTTAGAAGTTACTGCCCACCCCCTACTCCTTCCCTCACTGATGTTACACAGCTGCTAAACTGCTTTCTGTCTCATATCTTCCTACTCTGTACTTAAGTAACTGTATTTTACTTAATGTTTAATATTAGTGCTTAATAGCATTTTTATGAGCTCTGTAACTTGGATTACTAGAGACAGTGTACTATAAAGATCTTTTGACTTATTATGGTATTTGGGATTGAAAACGAGTTTACTATCATGCATAAATTTGCAGCCTTGGCCAGATCACATGGGCTAGCAGGAAATTTACTGATCTCTTTACTGCTTTACTCTCATCTCAGATATAGCAGCTTCTTGATTTTTTTTTTTTTTTTTTTGGTCCCTTTTTCAAATACTGAGAGCTTAACATCATTTTGGTTTTTTCTCCTTCAGTGAAGACTGCTAGTGAGTTTATTTGCTTCAAACTCAAATCTGCCTATAGTAGGATTTATTACCTATCTTCTTCAATTTCCTTTTGAGAAAGTTTTTTTTTAATGGAGCCTGGTAAAGGACTCAACCTCACTTTAGTCTTATATGTTGTTAAAAGTTAAAGATTATGACCTAAGAAATTTGGGGATCACTGCCTTTATTTTTGGTTGAACTAATACTTTTTGGTAAAAGTATGATCATGATTATTATCTTTATTATTAGCATAGCAACAACTATATATCAGACAGTATTTGTGAATTTAAAAAATAATCTTAACTTGCTTCACAACAAAGTATTGGTTCTATTACTAAATTTAGTTAATCCCAGTATGCACATTTTTTCACATTTTATCAAAATCTTTAAAATCAGGATGTCTTCAATTGATGACGTCTTAGAGTTACTGTTGACTAGGTGACAGTACTGTCTTCATTCTGTCTTGCCTATGTACAGATTTGAACATAGCAGTTAATAACATCACTTCATTGAGTGTGCTTTTGGAACCACATGAATTGCATTTGGTTTTAGTTTGAGAAGTCTTCAAAACAACTATAGGTTTTTAGTATTGAAAAAAATCTTGAGTATGCAGAAATGCGTATAAAGAGAGTGGCCTGACAGATGATGGAAATCGTCTAAACAGTTCTGCAAGAGCTCTTTCAATAAATATAAAATAAAAATTCTCTGTGTTAAGAAAGCACGTGTGTTTAATTTTGGTGTTGTTTCTTTCTCAGTGGTATATAAAATAACGTAGTGGGTTACAATTAATGTCTTAGATTCGACGAAGTACAGTTTTCCCATTTTACAGATAAGGAAACTGAGGCTCTTGAAGGTTAAATTGTTTGCCAGATTGTCATACAGCTAAGTAATAGCAGAGCAGCATTTCAACAGAGGTTGGTTTGATTCTCCAAAGTATGTGCTTTTAACTGCTATGTTTGGCACCTTGTGTATGTAATAAATGAGAGAGAGAATTTGTATAATTTAAAAAAATCTCTCTTCTGTCCTTAACAGTGGGGTAGCTAAACTTCTGTCTTCTTTCTCTTTTGTCCTTACTCCCACTTCTTGTAGCTGTTGATAGGTCTGTGACTGCTAGTCTGAGTGATGCTCGGGACGCCCTTGTGAATGCCGTCATAGATTCTCTTTCAGCTTATCGGTCTTCAGTCCTAAGTAACCAGCAGCCTGGACTCATGGTTCCTTTCTCATTGCGGCTTTTCCCACTTTTTGTGTTGGCTCTCCTTAAACAGGTAAGAGAATCAAAACCAGAAATTAGTACAGTGAAAGTGTCAAAAGCAAAAATTTTTATCCTGTGAATCACTAAACATTGTATATATAACTTTATGCCAGTTAAGTTTTCTGAAGACAGGGACTTTAAATCTTAAACTCTTAACTCTTTCAAACCTTGAGAGGATTTTTAACCAGAAAAAGTTACAAAATGCTCATTTAAAGCATGTGCCTTGTTTGTAAGAGTTGCTCACTGAGTATTCACCAGTGTTATCAAAGATGCAAATGATGGGGGCTGGCCCCGTGGCTGAATGGTTGAGTTCTCACGCTCCCTTCGGTGGCCCAGGGTTTCGCCATTTGGATCCTGAGCGTGGATGTGGCAGCACTCATCAAGCCATGCTGAGGCGACATGCTACATGCTACCACTAGAAGGACCCACAGCTAAGAATACACAACTATGTACTCAGGGGCTTTGGGAGAAAAAGGAAAAATAAAATCTTTTAAAAAAAAAAGATGCAAATGATGATCAGTTTTCTGAAACAAGAACTGTGTATTTTATTGCTAGAGCAAGAAGTCACACGTGAGACTCTTCTTTTGGCTCTTTCCTGCTCCCTACAAGTTTCAGCCACATTCTGCTTCTTTATTTTAGATATGCCTTCTCACACCTGTTTACCTGTTTCCATGGCCTGCATTGTACTTTCCTGTCCTTGTCTTTGAGCTCAAATGTTTTATCTGTCTGGAAGTTACCTTTCCTTCTATGGTCCTCTAGCTCTTTGTGCATATATTTATTTATAGAGTTTTCCATTTGATACTTCTTATTTATTCGTCTCCCCTGTTTGCCCTTTGCCTCTACCCCAGGCTCCCCAGCAAAGAAGGAAAGGCTGGGCTGGTGAAGGAGGCTCATTTTTCTAGTCTCCAAAATATAATGTCCAGGCTTGTAGACTTAGGGTAACCTTCCCTTATAAAATTTTACTAAGGGGCTGGCCTGGTGGTGCAGTGGTTAAGCACACACGTTCCACTTCGGTGGCCTGGGGTTCGCCAGTTCAGATCCCAGGTGTGGACATGGCACTGCTTGACAAGCCATGCTGTGGTAGGTGTCCCACACATAAAGTGGAGGAAGATGAGCTCAGATGTTAGCTCAGGGCCAGTCTTCCTCAGCAGAAAGAGGAGTATTGGCAGCAGATGTTAGCGCAGGGCTGATCTTCCTCAAAAAAAAAATAAAATAAAATAAAGTTTTACTAAAAAGCTCATGTTAGTAACTCACCTGGGGAAGCATCCTGGATTCCAGAATTGATCAAGGACTGCTCTGGGTCATGTCAATTTGTATACTTTTCTGAACTCAAGGGTCAACCTGTCTGGTGTATGTCGTCTCTTCCAGGTGAGAAGGGCAACCCACTACACCCTGTTACGAATGGCTTTTGAATCTACTTCTAGTTTCTTTAACTCAAATTATGTATTTCCACTGATGAATATAATATAAATACACAGAGATTACATAAATATTTAAATTTTAACACTTAAAAATCTGAGATGTTCCCTCTTCAAGTCTTTCCTTAAATGCTATCCTTTCACTGAGGTCTGCCTTCCTGATCTCCTCATTTAATATGCAACACTCTCATCCCACCCCACCCTGACATCCTTTCTCTCTCTTCCCTTCTTTATTTCTTTCCATAGCACTTAACACTGACACACTGCATATTTTGCTTATTTATTATTTACTTCTTCCTTACTGGGATTTTTGTCCATGAGGACAAGATGGTGGTGTTTTTTTTTTTAGGATTGGCCCTGAGCTAACATCTGTTGCCAATCTTCCCCCTTTATTTTTCTCCCCAATGCCCCAGTACATGGTTGTATATCCTAGTTGTACGTCTTTCTAGTTCTTCTGTGTGGGACACTGCCTCAGCATGGCTTGACGAGCGGTGCTAGGTTCGCACTCAGGATCCGAACTGGTGAACCCCTGGCCACCAAAGTGGAGCGTGCGAACTTAACCATTATGCCACTGGGCCAGCACACCCCTGACCTTTTCTTTTTCCTGAGGAAGATTCACCCCGAGCTAAAATCTGTGCCAGTCTTCCTCTGTTGCTGCCACATCATGGCCGACGAGTGGTGTAGGTATGTGCCTGGGATCTGAACCTGCAAACCGAGGCTGCCGTAGCAGAGTGCACTGAACTTAACCACTATGCTACAAGGCCAGCCCCAAGGACAACGATTTTTATCTCTTTTGTTACACTCTGTCCCAGCACCCAGAACAGTTCTTAGCACATAGTAGGTACTCAGTAAATATTTTTAGAATGAATAAATGGAACTTCCCTTCTTCCATTCTGCATAGTACTTTTTTTCTTTCTTAGTAACTATCCACATACCACTTTAAAAAATCTTGAGCCTTTTCTAATCTTCCCTTATTTATAGTCAATGCACTTCTTTGTTTTTTTTTTTAAAGGTGTTTTTGTTTTTTGGTTTTGTTTTTTCCTTCTCTCCAAAGACCCCCCAGTACATAGTTGTATATTCTGGTTGTAGGTCCTTCTGGTTGTTCAGTGCACTTGTTTTAAGGCATAATTTCATTGCTGTTATCTCTCTGCCTCTTTCTACCCGTTACCATCAATAGGAAAGCTTAAAGCCTTACCTCAGAACTTCAGGGGCCAGCCCTGTGGCCGAGTGGTTAAGTTCGCGCACTCCACTTCGGTGGCCCAGGGTTTCGCTGGTTCGGATCCTAGGTGCAGACATGGCAGTGCTCATCAGGCCATGCTGAGGTGGCATCCCACATGCCACAACTAGAAGGACCCACAACTAAAATATACAACTGTGTACTGGGGAGGGTTTGGGGAGAAAAAGTAGAAAGAAAAAAAAAAGATTGGCAACAGTTGTTAGCTCAGGTGCCAATCTTTAAAAGAAACCAAAACTTCATTATTCTCCATGAAGCCAACATACCAGTTAAAACTCACAATTACTTATTAACTCTAGTCTACTAAGTAGCTTCCCTCATTTGTATTATTTTTCCTGGTTGATTTGTAAACTTTGTTACATTGTTTAATTTCTCTAACTGTAGGAGAAACAAGGATAGTAAACCACCATTAATTATCACCCAGCATTTATAGAACACTTAGATCTTTGGTCCTTCATATGTGTCTTTATTTTGTCATGTGCTGTGTAACTTTATCCTTCTCGTAGTGGTGTCTAGATTTTTACATCACTATCACTATGTGGTAGATAGAGTGTTTAGATCTATTTCACTGATTAAGAAACAGACACTAGAGAGATCAAATGACTTTGCCATGGTCAGGTAATTAATTTCTCAAAACTTAGGTGGGGATATAGCCACAATTTAATAGCTGTGTGTGACTTCTTAAAAGATATTTTTCAAAGAATAATTAACAATAAATTTGCTAATTCTGTATGAAGATATTCTTTTAACAACTGATATTTGCAAAGTTTTATATATATTTGTTAAATACCTCTTTTTTTGGATTTGGGGGTGGTTTTTTGTTACAGAAGTCATTCCAGACTGGGACGAATGCACGTCTAGATGAACGCATCTTTGCTATGTGTCAAGTAAAAAATCAGCCCTTGGTTTACCTTATGCTCACAACTCATCCCAGTCTGTATAGAGTTGACAATCTCTCAGATGAGGTAAGATTGATTCATTTTTTAGTGGCTTTTACTTGAAGGTTTATAAGCCTAATTATATTGAATCCATTGTGGAAATGAGGAGGGGTTTCTTTTTTAAAGCTTTTAATTTTATTCCTTTGCTATGTCTGTGTGAAAAAAATTTGGTTTTGGGAAGATTCTGAAAATAGTGCGTAAAACAAATTTACTTAAGTTGCCTAAGACAGATCTCCAGAGCAGATCTAAGTAAATGAATAGATTGTGAAATTGATCCAGAGCAACCTATGATTTATTTATTTAAACAAATTGATCTGAAAGGAGTTGCCTAAGTTACTTAAGTTGCCTAAGACAGATCTCCAGAGCAGATCTAAGTAAATGAATAGATTGTGAAATTGATCCAGAGCAACCTATGATTTATTTATTTAAACAAATTGATCTGAAAGGAGTATCCTGAGAATGAAATTACATCTGAACACCCCAGGTCAATGTTTAGTGCAACAGTGTTCTTGAATTAAAGAAAAAATATTTATCTAAATTATAACATTATTTGCCCTTGATAGGAAATTTACCTAAATTAAAGTCACAGCATGAAAATGTTAAATCATAGCCTTTCTTTCTGAAATTGTAATCAAGTTAGGCTATGTATGTTGGAAGTAATATTTTGCTTAAAAACCTTTCAAAGTTTAAAGAATTTAATATACGTTGCGCACATATATATATATATGTATATGAGAAATTGCCTGTTAAATTTAAGGTAACTTTTTAGCAAATGATAACTGTCAATAACATTATTTGTCTTACAAAAATAACTCAGGATCAATCCTGTGTCTGACAAGTTCAAGTAACTGGACCTATCCATTTCTCACATTAAAAAATGGCAAATTAACATAAAGATATAAATGGAATATTGTATGTCTATAATATGGAAACCAACAAAAAGAAAAACAAACCTCTCATAAATGTATATCCAAAGACAAGCAGTATTAGCCTGTCGGTGTATTTATCAGGACTCTTTTGGTTGCAGGTAACCTTAGGAAGGAAAGGGTACTGATGGCATTCAAAAACAAAGCTTAGGAAAGAGTAGGGTAGAGCTTGACTCAGATCTATAGCTCAGATTCGAAGACTTTCTTTGCTTTGCTTCATTCTTTTAGATCAGCCTTCTCTACAAGACTAGAAAACTCTGCCACTGATAGCTTCCCTTCTTTACCACCAGAGAAAGACAAGGCTCTCTCTCCTTATTTCACATTAGAAAACCTCCAGGAGAAATTTCTGATTGGCTAAATTTGGGTTATAGTCTCTCTCCTGCTCCCGGCGTGCCCTAAGGCCAGAGGTCTTAAGGTGCTGAGGTTAATAGTCCCTCACGGAGCTAAAGCCTCATCACTGGAGGGAGAATACCTATTAGTAGGTCAGTACATTATTTACTTCCTCCCTTAGGTAAGGTTTAATTGAGTATGGAATGTAAGCACTTAAATTTATTTTTGATAAAAAATGAATAATTACAAATATTTAAGGGATATGTGTGTGTTTTCAGGTAACAGTAGTATAGTCACTTATAAATGAGAAACTTCCATTTCTGGCCTTAATAAATTTTAAATTAGAGAGAACTATTAAAATCTCAATTGCATTAGGCTTTTATTCCTCCCTCAGGATGTGCACATGACCTAAGCCATGCAATCAGCCATTATTATTAACTAAATTCCAGACTTTATTTGGATCTCACTAATGTCATTTATCTGTTCAGAATACATGGGTATTGATTGTATTTACTGTATTAGTTTTTAAAATAATAGTTAAGATTAGAAGTTAATTTGGCTTTATTCGGATTCACAGTGGCTTTGTTTAGATAAGTGATAAATAGTTCTTCATCTTCTTCATATTTAAATATACTAATTGTGATTTAGCTAAGTAAAGCCCAAAGTCTCAGAGGTAACATTCATTAAAAATTTTTTTGTGTAATTGTGATTCCATGTTACCTGTATCTACAAGCTTTAATCTGTTGCTGAATTCCTCAGGGAGCACTCAACATCAATGACCGAACCATACCTCAGCCGCCTCTTCTTCAGCTGTCAGTGGAGAAGTTGAGCAGGGATGGAGCTTTCCTCATGGACGCAGGCTCTGTGAGTAGTCTGACTGATCTGGATCCTTCTCTCTGCCTATATTACTGTACCTTCATTCCCTTTAATCTCTCTCTTCCTGAACAGATCATATGCTGTTTAATCTGTGTCTTTTTGTATTAGCCACCTTCTCCCTCCATAGCCTCCTTCCATGCCAGGTACAAAATGTCTTATCATGGTAAATAGTAGTTACTGTTAGTTCACTTGAAGGCTGTACAATCTCACTAGACCTACTCATCATTTTGGTCTTTTAAAACATACTCAGTGGTAAAGGTGAGTCAACAGCTCACTGTTAGACTATATCTTAAAATAATTTTCTCTCTGTCCCCAGGTACTGATGCTTTGGGTTGGAAAAAATTGTGGACAGAATTTTCTCAGCCAAGTTCTAGGAGTTCAAAACTATGCATTAATTCCACAGACTATGGTAAGACTGTCTTATTGTAATGATTGTAGTAGATTTAAAGAGTGTTTCAAATGTGGCCAAAACACAAATATCCCGTTTTGAAAGCACAGCATAATACTACAAGCTTTTCCAAAAAAGAAAATGTTCCCACAGATTATGTTTCTCTTCCAATTGAAAATACTTATTTTTTGTTTTAAAGGTGTTCTTCAGGTTATTTTGCATCACTGACTTATCTGTTCTTATGTGTCTGACAGTATACTATTTTAGGGAGAAAGTAATGAATTTAATGGCAAAAAAATAGTTTGCTACAATTGGCATTAGTGTTATGGCTTTTTTGTTTTTGGGTTTTGTGTTTTTGACAAGTGATTTCATTGTTCTTTAGTAGGGTCCTTTTAACTGCTGCTTTGGAGAAAAAACTAAGCTAATTGCTACACGAGCAAATGACTTGTAATCAGTGTCAGTTGGATTAATACTGATTATTGAAGAAAGTAATGGACTCTATCACTAGCTCTGTGACCTCTGACAAGTTACTAACAGCCTCATTTGTAAAACAAGAATGCTGTTGCTTATGGAGGACTAATTGAAATAATCCATAAGAAAGCATTTGTTAACCTTTATAGCATTTGAATAGTTTTGAATTTTGAAGTTATAATTAATTATAACATGGTCTTATTTAGTGTCAGTTGTTTAGTCCCTACTCTCAGTTTGTTGCCAACTTTGGAATATGTGTTTTATGTTAGCATTTTTTCATATTATGGGTTTAACTCCATTCATAGATGTCATTAGGAGATTCATGTATTTAAAAGACATATAGGTCAGGATTATAACTAAGAAAAGCACTAGCTTTCAGGCTTTGAGTAAAACTACTGGTCTGGATGACTAGGCATTTTAAGTAACGAGATAAGAAATTGTCGTATTTGTAACAACTGCCTGAATGATTCAATCAATTCTAGATGTCATAATAAAATGAAGAGGTAGGATGTTCTTCTAGATCAGGGCTCAGGGCTGGGCAAACTATGCCCAAGGGGGCCTGCCAGCTGTTTTTGTAAATAAAGTTTTATTGGAACATAGCCATGTCCATTCACTTGTGTATTGTCTGTGGCTACTTTAGTGAAACAAGGGCAGAGTTGACGAGTTGCAACAGAGGCCAAATGACCTGCAAACCTAAAGTATTCACTGTCTGCCCCTTTAAGAAGTTTGCCTACCCCTCACTAGAAAATTGTGGCATGTAGATTCTTAGGCCCCTCCGCACACCTCCTAAATCAATATCTGCAGGTCAGCAAGATCCCCACGTGATTCATGTAGATGACAAAGTTTGGGAAGCATTGTAGATGATACATTAGATATATGATTAAAGTAAGTTAGATATTATTGGTTTTTGTTTAATAGACAGACCTTCCGGAACTTGATACACCAGAATCTGCCAGGACAATAGCTTTTATCTCTTGGCTTAGAGATCAGAGACCATTTTTCCCAATACTTTATGTAATAAGGTAAGTTGAATTTTTCATTTGCTAATTGTGAAACAATTTGTTTGGCCTTGCCAGGGACCTGTTGTGAGTCATAGATATATGTGACCTATTGCTTAAGCACACCCTTTAGAAGAATATAGGGAAAAAAAAAGAAAGAAAAAGAATTTTCAATAAATAGTACTAAATTATGCTTTATATCTAGTTGTTAGTAAAAAATGTGTCAACAGCCTCATGACAAATCCACTGTTTATTTTACTATTACATTTTATCTAATGTACATAAATATTTTGTCTTTTATTCCTAAGGGATGAGAGTCCAATGAAAGCAAACTTCCTTCAAAATATGGTAGAAGACAGAACAGAATCTGCATTATCATACTATGAATTCCTCTTGCATATACAACAGCAAGTGAATAAATGAACACATGAAGAGACTTGACTTAGTTATTTCTAAGGAAAGTCACAGTAGTGCAAAACACCTGAGAATGTGTAATACCCTCCTTTTCTATTAGGTTTGTGGACTAATGTGATGATTATATGTTCTCACTGTGATTTCAACAAACTATAGCAAATAAAGGACCACAGCAGAGAATCAAACGTGCAACTCTGAAATACTGTATTTTTCAAATCAAAGTATATATATATATATGATCGGATACCTTTTTTCCTTCGCTGCCAATTATGTTTGAGTTGTTATGGATTGAAATAAGATGAGACAATATTGCAAAGGCAAAGTACATTTTGTAAAATAAAGACTTCTGTGTTCCAAATGTATATTTCTCATTTTTTTTCCTGAATTTTTGGCTGCTACATTTAAAACCTCACAAGACTAAGTGTTGCAGGGAAGTTACAAATCCAAGATCATTGATAATGATCGTTTTGAAATCAAAAAATTTCAGAAGTAAATAGTATGTAGAAAAACTAAAATCCATTCCCCACACCTGTTTTTTTCCTCTCTTTTAAGGAAGAAAAGAAAAAGGATCATCATATTACTAAAACTAGAATAAACTAACTCTAGGTTGAGAAGACTATGAAATAATACAGTCAAGCTTTAAAATCTGTCAGTATTCTCTATACTTGAAGAACAAAGTCACTTTGGTTTGAAGTGAAAACTATAAGTAGTTTTCAATTTGATTGCAGAAGACTTGGACACACTAACTTACTCTGCAGTGAAAAGAATCTGAACCATCTTCATAAATACGTTGGGACTGGCAAAGATAATAGGGAGATGAGACACTTTAGTTTTCTTGATCCTTTAAGTGGGTTTTGTTTGGTACATTTCTGCTCTGTGATGTATAATAAAAGTGTTATATTGGTGAAATGAGGATGAATGAAAGAAATTAAAGGTTTCTTAAATACTGTCTCAAATGCATCAGTAACATTTTCCTAAGGAGTTTAGTAATTAAATTGGAAGCCGCTCATAAAATATTTATTCATGGATATTAAAACTTATTAAAGCATGAATGCTGCTGTTTGATTTGGTGAATGTTAAGATTACACAAATCCAATATGTTGAAGTTGTGAAAGAAACTTGATTTCTGAACATGCTCAAGAGACTGGTTTTTTTGATTCAGCCAGAGAAATATTAAAGTCAAAACCATTAAGTGAATTTTGTTTACAAATAGGTAAATTATAAATCTGTATATTTAAAGTGCTGTGATAGAATATCTGTAAAAGAGTTTGGCCCAGTTTTCACAGATTCATCTTGTCTTGTATGAACTTCTTAAAGTAAAAGATGTTCATGTGTAATACTTGATGAAAGATTTTTGTTTCTTTGTTTTAATGGGTTAGAAAAATGTGTTTACAATCTTGGTCTAATATGATCACCAATGAAATAGTAACTGTCAGGTTTACATCAACATGAGCTAACTTTAACTGAGTTGCTTTGGGATAGGGAAGAAGCAGGTCCCACTAGAGTATACACTACTGCTTGCCAGCCAGATCAGAATAATTGTGTTTTACAAAAATATCATCTCCCTTAAGCAGTGTTAAGGTTTATTTTCAGTATGCAACTGGTACATAGAACTGGAAATTTTATTGAAAGCTGCTTCATTTATTAGGAAGCAATTTTCAAATTGTAGCAAATTAAAATAAATGCATATTTTCCCCTCTTTTAAAGAAACTGAGTCATTATTATGCACTGATGTTTCTTAAAATAACTAAAATTCTCTTCTTAATGTGAATTTTAAATGTGGATATTTGTAGGTCCTTTCTTAATAGTAGTAACGTATCTTCCAGAGGGAAAAGTTTGTGCTTCTAGGGACAATAATCTTCCTTGTGCCTCACTTCATCCCTAAGTGGGTATGACTCTTGTTATTACCACATGCTTTGTTAGTATATTTCACAAATTTACTTAAAAAATTATTTTAGATATTGTGTAATGTGCAATCCAGAATAATTTTATAATAACCAGGTCATAAAAAACATAACTTTAGTTAGGATTAGGATTCACAATATTTGTTCTCCAGATAATGAGGGAATGAATGAACTTTTTGGAGATGGCGATATTAAGCAATTATTTTTTGCAATATTGAATGTGTTTTTTAGTTTGTTTTGTTTTTGTTTTTTGCAGTAGGGTACTACCTGCTATATCATCTTGTATTTCTTTTTAATGTAAAGCAACTAATATTTACACTATGCCATATTTTTTTTATCGTAGTTGTAAATTATGAAAGATCCTTGAATTTTCTACAGATCTACAACTACTAAAGTAACAGACAAGGGCAATCTTGGTATTTAAATCTGAGCATGGCAGATCTACCATAAAAATACTCTATTTTTCTAATTTCTAGGATTTTTAAAATAACATTTCTGTAAGTCTGACATTAATATTCACTCAAGCTGTACCATTTATTTTAGTTTGCATATATTTCATTGTTTTAATTTAATGTATTGAGTCTAATAGACTGTTTTACAATAATTAGAATAAAAGATTTATTTCTTATCAAAGATGCATAACAGCTATTATCTAGGGGACCACCAAATGTGATTTCAAGATTTTGTTAACTTTACAAATAAAATCCTTATATAGAAATTTTAATTTTGTAAAGTAGTGTATAATACTGTAACATTAAATTCTTGTTCTCAAATTCAAATATGTATTGCTCTTCAATGTGGTGTGTTAAATCTTGCTTCTCTGAAATGTTAGAGACAAGATTTGTCTTCCTTTTTACAGTTTGTAATTTTCACTGTTTTATTCCTGTAAAAAAAAAAAAGTCATTTGTAACCCATGCAAATAATTGTTTGAACTGTGCTAACTTATCAATTTGGCTATTCAATAAAGTTAATTGAAAGAGCTTATATATAGTACTAGTTATTTAAAGTGATAGGAATAACTTGCCCATCACTGAGTGGTGCTATGTTGTACATCCAAGTTAAGGAAACTGTTGTCTGAGAGGTCATAAACTGAATCCTTCACGCTGGGTTTGAAATTCTAGATTGAAAGTTTTCTCTTTCTTTTTTAATTCTCAATATGTTTAAGATACACTCCATTATCTTCTGGACCCTTTTGTTATAGATAAGATGCCTAGTGTCAGTCTAATTGTTCACTTGAAGATAATCTGTTAGCATTTAAGATTTTTATCCTTAATATTCTATAGTTTTACTACTCTGAGTTTATTGTTTATCCTGCTTGTTTTCCAGAGCACACTTTAATCTGAAGATCCTTGTCCATCTTCAATTCTGGAAAATTTTCAGCTATTTTTAAAAAATTTTATTTGACATATGAAGCTACTTTCTGTTAAAATATTTGCCTTTCTGTCATTTCATCTATTCTTTTTTTACCCTCAGAATTCCTCTTGTGACTGTGTCCACATTGGAGTTTAATCTCATCTATTGAATTTTATATTTGCATAACTACATTTTTTATTTTCAAGATTTTTTTATATCCATCTATTTTTGATTCATTTCTGCCTGTTTTTTAATAATGTATTAAAACTGTTCTATAAAATTCTTTCTGCAGTTAATTCCAATTCCAATTTTTAATTTGGCTGGCAGAATTTAAATTTTTTATTTCTACATGTTTGCTAGAATTTGGGTTTGTAGGCTCATTTGAGTGGGAGGGTTTTTATTTTCGTTTTAGCTCATCTCTCTGTCAAGCTTTCCCTCACCCTCTCCCTAAGAATGGGGTTTTTAATTGCATTTCCTGGCCCCTTGGCCAAAACTAGGGCTGCTAGCGGTGATTTAGGGCTCCTGTCCTGCAGTGATTTGGGGATATCACCATTCCAGTCCACAACAGTGGAAAGTCTAGTGGTTGCCCTCTCTGCTGCCTCCCTATTTATAAAGCTGCAGTCCAAGGCTATGTGGGTCAAAAGCAAATGACATTTGAAGATTTTTGGAGGGAGGGCTGACCTCAGGCAGTCAGTTTGGCCTGTCTCCCCATGGTTCATGTGGAGCACTTTCAGGGCTCCTTACCCCATAGAATGTGCCACCATTGCCTGCTTTTGGACTTGCAGCCCAGCAAGCACCTGACCACTCCACAAGGCTTTGTGTTCCTCATATTTGATCTGCTGAGATGTTTCTCTTGTTTTTGAGTCCAGGTATTTCTTTTTTTCCCTTTATATCTTTAACCGTTATTGTTCTTGCTGTGTGGAATAGAGAGGGGTCCAAGCATGAATTTACTGCCTAAATTTAACCCCAGAAACTGAATTCTAGTTTTATCAGTTATGACTCAATCTGTTCAGCTTTGTATCTATTTATCAATAAAGTATTAATATTACCCTATGTACACAATGCAAGATCAAATAAAAATTATACATAAAACTCATTGAAAATGCCAAGTTTTAACACTTCCTCTAAAAGAAAAATATCTGCAACTATTGAGGTAAGATTAATCTAGTGCTATCAGTGGTAGGCTTGGGGCAAAGTGGTAAATTAAAAAAAAAAGAGAAAAGGGACAGCCTCCCTCTCTAGTGAGAAAGACAAATTAATACAAGTTGTAAGTAAGCATATCATTTATCAAAGAATCACATGTACCACTGAGAAGTACCAGGAAGTTTAATAAACTACACAAACCTCACAAGGAAATGGTTCTTCAGAAATAAGCATGTAATATGAAGACTGGGACACTTTTAATTTGCACCCAACTGAATGAGTCATCATACATCAACACAACAACACTATCTGAAGAACCAAAATTTTCATTTGGCTTCTACAGGCTGTCTCAAATGACAAAAATCTTTTGTTTATCCCGGAATTGTATTTGGTCTTGACTCACCAGGACTGTACCTCATCAAATTCTGCACATTTGTTACTACTTATTTCAGTGGTAGAATTTTTTTAAAGCACAGTCTGGGGCTCAGAGAAATAGAACTGTACAGATATGCAGAGGAACCTCTTCTAATACTGTAAAATTTTTCACGAGGGGGGCCACCCAGGGCATAGTGGTTAAATTCAGCGTGCTCTGCTTTGGCAGCCGGGTTTGAGATTCGCATTCCGTGTGCAAACATAACACCACTCCTTGGCCACTCTGTGACCGTGTCCCACACGTAAAGTGGAGGAAGACCGGCACAGATGTTAGCTCAGGGCTAATCTTCCTCAGCAAAAAGAAATTAACTAAGGCATGTCCCTAGGATTTAGCTTTTATCCAATCAAGTGAGAAAGTTCATTGTTTATACGTGATCTCCTTATGTTGTTGAATCCCAAAGATAAGTTGTTTGTTTGGTTTTTTTTGTTTTTTTTTTTTTTAACATTTTTCTCAAACTCCTTTTCTGTCTGGGACGGGGTCAGGTGACTAACAGTTAATTACAATATTTTATTACTTTGTCTAAGTGGGGTTTCACCCGCTTCCTGAGTTTGGGTGTGACTGTGCAGCAGGTTTCATTACAGGGGGCCCACTAAGCTGCTTCCACCCTCTGCAGCCTCAGGTTCAGGCCATAGTGCCCTTGCCCTCTCGGCAAGGCTTGACAGAAGATTCGATTCCTTCACAGTTACTCATTCACTTAATCATTTCTGAGCGCCACGGCTTATTAGACTCGTGGGTCCCAGGCACTTAGCTTACTGCGCTCCTTCCGCCTGTGTTGGTATAAGGACGACTATAATCCAGGCTGGATTCAGTATTATATACTATCATTACACTTTTATTCTGATTTTAAAAGTAATTAAAACATATTCTTGGGCCCCTAAGACCATCGCGGACCCTCCATACTGCCTAATGGATAAGCGGGCCCCGCTGGGCGCTCACACTCTTCTGGGAGTTGCCGCCGTGAACAAAACACAGTGCTTGTCTTCATGGAGGTGATATTCTAGCGAGCGAGAAACGGACAATACACAAAATAAGAAAATTTAGTTTGTAGTCACTTATACATGTTAAAGAGAAAAATAAAGCAGATCTGGAGAACAGGGAGTGTTGAGGGGGTGGCAATGTAAACAGAACGGACGAGGAAGGCTTCTCGGGGCAGGTCTTGAACAAAGACGTGAAGAAAGGCTGGAACAACTAGGCGCGAACCGGGAGAACAGCAATTTAAGAAGCGGAATCAGCACCGAGCACAAACCCCAAACGCAACGCTCCTAAGGCGTCGCTCCCAGAGTTACGTATCGCCGCGGCCTATAAGCGAGGCCGCAGAAGGTCACTGGAAGCAAGCGCCTGCTGCCGCATCCTCCATTTTGCTTCCTGGTAGTAGTCTCCGACGCTTACCCCTCGCTTTTTCCTGTTCGTGAGGTTGGGTGACGCTTTCCTTCACCTCCGAGTGAACAGCAGGGGAGCCTGGCGGCTGGGAAGAGGAGCAAGAGCCAGCCAAGGCGGGAGAACCTGGGGCAGCCGGCTCTGCCCTCATCCAAGATGGCGGCGCATGTCTCGCGAGGGATTCGGTCGGGAGACGCGCGTGCTTAGCCGTCAGCCTCCGGCCTGGCGCTGGGGGGGCGAGGCTACGCTGGGGGCGGACGCGCTCTCTGCGGCCCGGCCTCAAGTCATCAGCGCCGCCGCCGCCCCCAACAGGACTCTCGTCACCGCTCCGTGATTGCAGAGGGGAAGATGGAGCCGATGAACGTCGCTACTGACAGCGGGGACCGGCCCGGGGCCCTGGCGGGCTCAGGCCTGTCGGCTTCCCAGCGTCGGGCCGAGCTGCGGCGGAGAAAGCTGCTCATGAACTCGGAACAGCGCATCAACCGGATCATGGGCTTTCACAGGCCCGGGAGCGGCGCGGGTGAGGACCTCGGTTTCCCCTCAGGCTCCCGCCCACCCCTTTGAGTCTTGAGGATCATTCTTTCTTTCCCTCCTCCACCCGCTGGACCCTTTTGACCAGGCCCTGCTCTCTGACCTCCGCGCTCTCCCTGCTCCTTAGGTGATGTCCCAGGTTCTCACTTCTTAACCCCGGACATTTCTAGTCACTCTCCTGTTTTTTTCCGGAGGCTTTGCCCTGAGGTTGTCCCCACCTCCACCGCGGGCTGCGAAGCCCTCGCTCCTGAGTCCCTCAGCCGTGGTGCCCTCTGCCCAGGTACCATGAGACAGCCCCTTCTTTCTTCCTCGCCCCCTCGCCTCTCTTGTGGGGCGTACATTTTATCCCCATGCAGACTGCTCTGTCTGTTGTGCCCCGCAGGAAGATTGCTTTCCTATCTTTGCTCTCCCTTCCATTGCCTCCCCTAGCGTCTGTCGCCTTCTGCCTTTTGCTGTAACTGTCGGCCCACGTAAGCTTGTCTTTCCTGAACTGTCCCCTAGTCCTTCCTACGTGGATCAGGGACTCTTGTGGTCATATCCTTCTGTTTGTGTTCAGTGCCCTCAACACTGGTCATCTACAGCCCTTCTAAAACAGGTCAAAAAATTCGGAGCGACCATTTTTTTATTAGACCCAACAAGTGGGACGTGCCCAGCCGAGGTCTGCTCTCCTAGTGTACTGAGATCGAGGTGATTGATGTCAGGAGCTGCGTTTAACCCTAAAGAGCTTTCTTCATTTCTCCCCCAGTGACGTGTACAATGAGTTTCTTAAAATTTTTTTTCATGTGAATATTGATTGAACACTTAGTATGTGCTGGTTCTCTAAGTTTCCATTGAGTCTTGCCTTTAGTAATTGGCCGTTAGTCACTGGTTGAAGCTCCTTAGACCTTATGATTTCTGCCCTGTCGGGCTTTACATATATAGCTCTGAACTTTTAAACAGTTCACAGGTTTTCGGCTGGAAACTATGGAGAGGTAAGAGCACTATTTCAGATTCTCCTAGAATAATAGATAGAAGACGCATTTCTTCCTTTAATGATTAATAGCAGGATATTTATTCTTTCCCAAAGCATGCATTATCTTTCTCAAGGTACATTCTGTATTTTGTTCTCTTGCTTTGAAACTTTTATATGTCAGTTAAGGTTTTTGTTTTGTTTTAAACCAGAACAGCATCCTAAAACTGCTTAAGTACCTACTGACGGCTCCCTGACGACCGTAGAAGGATTACGTAAACATAGCTGAAGGATATGCCACACCCTATGCTGACACACTCAGCATTCAGAAATCTAATATGGAAATACAGATTTTAAAAAGCATTGATAATTCTATATTTTTAACCAAATAAGCTAGAACAGCCAATGCAGTCATACTTCTGGGCTATATTATCCATGAAAACTTGTGTTTATAGCCTTCTCCATCCTTGACTATCTTTCCCAATTTGTGTACTATTCTTATCTTCTGCCCAGAAAGCTTGGATTCTGTCTTCTGCAGGAATACTCTTTTTGGGTGATATATTTTGAGTGTGTAGAGGAACTAGTTTATTTTTTCCTGCAGAATCAGCATTAATTTAGATTCAGACTGCAGAGTTCTAGCTGCAGCAGCATATTTTTTAATATTAATATGAAAGGTATTTGCCAGTATGTAATACATAAGGCTTCTAAATTTCTTTTCTCAGAAGAAGAAAGTCAAACAAAATCAAAGCAGCAGGACAGTGATAAACTGAACTCCCTCACCATTCCTTCAGTTTCAAAGCGAGTAGTGCTGGGTGATTCGGTCAGTACAGGAACAACTGACCAGGCGAGCGGTGTGGCCGAGGTAAAGGGGACTCAGCTGGGAGACAAATTGGACTCTTTCATTAAACCACCTGAGTGCAGCAGTGACGTGAGCCTTGAGCTCCGGCAGCGGAACAGAGGGGACCTGACAGCGGACACTGTTCAGAGGGGTTCTCGCCATGGCCTAGAACAGTATCTCTCCAGATTTGAAGAAGCAATGAAGCTCAGGAAACAGCTGATTAGTGAAAAACCCAATCAAGAGGATGGAAATACAACAGAAGAATTTGACTCTTTTCGAATATTTAGATTGGTGGGATGTGCTCTTCTTGCCTTTGGAGTCAGAGCTTTTGTTTGCAAATACTTGGTAAGAAACATAATGGAAAATGCAAATTTGTTATAATAATGAGTGCTTTTAATCCACAGAATTCATTGCCAATATTAACTTTATATTTACCAGATTCACGTGGCTATTTGGAGATGTATTATAAACTGCTATTCACCTTAGTGATAGAATGAGGTGTTCTGATTAAATACAGACCCTAATAATACTGCTAAACTTTTTCTACATGCTAGGTACCATTCTAAGTGCTTTATATATTAATTCATTTAATCCTTATTGTTATGAACTAGGTATCGTTTGAATCTGTGTTTTATAGATGAGGGAGTGAAGACTCAGAGAGGTTAAATCATTCGCCCAAGGTCACACAGCTACTGAGTGGCAGCTAGGGTGAAACCCAGGCAGTTTCATTCCAAAACCAAAGGGAATCTTTGATACTGACATATAGTAGATGTTAATTAACACTTTTTAAATAATTTGAAATGTTAAAATGCAGTTCCTGTGGTCCTGAACATGATGTAGTTTTCCTATGGTTCAGAAGGCATTTTAGCTTTTATAATGTTGTAGTGTTATGGCAGTCCATTTTCTTTGTACTTTCAGGTACAAAGGCTTCCATTTGACTTTCAGGCAAAGGCTGTTCATTGAAAGTTGGGATTTACTGATCTTTATTTTTTTCAGTGTGTGGAGGAATGCAGAAAAGCATAGCTCATAGTTCAGTGTCTTGCTCTTTGAGATATTTCCATTCAGTAGACATTTTAAGAATACCTACCAAGTACTAGGCGCATAAGTAAATTTTACAGATAAGATATTATTAAGCAAAAATTTTTTAAAATCTATTTTTATGCAAATCTTTTCTTAAAGAGCATCTGTTTAACAGATTTGATTTTTTGTGTGTGATGATAAATTGTCAGCTTTCAGCATTTAGTGTGACATGTAGCTGCTTATTTTCCTTATCTAAAGGGCTCTGTGCTTTCCTGCTTTTAAAGTTATGTCCTATTTTTGTGTCTCATTTTTGTGTGAGGTTTTTTGGCTTTCTGGTTTTCTTTGCTATCAGATTTTCAACTATTATTTCTCATTGCTCTCACTGTACTTCCCCTCTAGTAATATTTGCTCCTTCACTCCATTATATTTTTAATTTTAGAAATGATTATGTAAATTAAGTATTATTTTGATCTTATTTTATTTTATTGTGTGAAAATCAAGATAACCGAGTCATTTTATCTGTAGTAAGAGTAGCTCATCATTTGAGGGCCGGAGATGTAGCTATATGAGTTACTGCCTTGCCCCAAAGACTGAGGAATGTATGGCATCTCAAGTACTGGGCACTTTACTCGTGCTTTCAAATTGTCAGTTAGTTACCTCTAGATGAGAGAGATATTACTGCATGACATATGCATCTATCACCATTGACTACTTTAAATCATTTAAAAGATAAGTTTTTATGAGAGAAGACATTGTTGGGGACATTAAAAGAATGTGACAACTTGAGAAACATGTTTTATGATAAGGAAATCAAATTTCTTTATTTTCTTCACCCTTCTGCAGAAACAAGACTACTTTCAGCTGCTACAATTAAATATTTTATTACAGTTTTTTTGTTTGGAATTTGATAACTGCTGTTAGTTTAATTTATTGTGTTTTTTTGTGAATGATTATATTGGAAATATATAATTTTATCTTCTATCTTCACAGTCCATATTTGCTCCATTTCTTACTTTACAACTTGCATACATGGGACTATACAAATATTTTCCCAAGGTAAATTAAATTTTTTTTCTAAATTATGGTGATGTATTTAGATTAATTAATGACTAGATAATTTTAAGAACTTCTCAAAAGTTAGTTGTATTTATGGTCTGAATTAGTGCTACCAAAGTGTAATTGGACCACCAGCGCTGATCTTCAAACTATTTGTTTCCTTTTGTAATGAGTTAAGTTCAGAAAGTGAGTAATTAGAAACTTTTGTGGCAGTTTGACATTGCCATAACATTTTTATTGTGTTTTACAAAAATGTTAGTCCACCATGGATTAGGAGAAAGAAACCTCATGAAATCGTCTGACAGTGTTTGAATAGTACTTGTCTAAGAAAGTGTTCAATTTAATTACTGAGTAAATTTAGTAATACATTTTATCTATAATAAAGGAAATTAATTTTAAAATGGGTTCAGTTATCTTACTTTGGTCTTTACTGGACACTTAGTAACAATACACTTTATCTTTAATGTTGAGGGCCAGATATTTGCAAGAAATATTTGGCTCAGATTGCAAAACAGAATCATGGGGCGTGTCCATCTTTGCCTGGTCTGCTTGCCTACAGATGTATACATACTTTTATGGGACTTGGCTTGGCTGGTGTAGAAGATAACCTTGCGTGATTGAGCTTTGTGTGAGATTTTTGCTAAAAAATGGCTGCTTGGCTATTTGCTTAGTCATTTGTAATGTACTGATAGACCTCGTGTGTTTTTAATGGATTTGAAACATTTATATTTTTGAGGAGTCAGGTCAAATACACAAAGTAAAAGAGTAAAGAAAGAAATGTAATTTTATTAATAAATTTTTTTATGATTAGATGTATATTTATTGACCTACCCCAAAAATGTAATTTTAATTAAAGCATTTGCTTAGAAATTTATCCGTGAAACAGTGATTATAGTTTTGTAATAGCGAAAGTTTGGAAACCAGTAATAAGTGTCTAGTTATATGTCCAGTAATAAGTGACTAGTTAAAAAAAATTATGGCATATCCATTCAGAAGGGGGAAGCTCTCCCTATACTGTTAATGGTAAGCTTGCCAATAAATGTTAAGAGAAAAAAACAAAATACAGAATAGAATCTATAGTATACTTTTTTTTTGTAAAAAGGAGGAAAATAATATATATTTGATTTTGCTTGTATATGTATAAAGAAACTTGGGAAGAATATTCCATGAAACTATTAACATTGCTTATTTGTGATAGAAGTATATATGGGTTACTAGGTAAACGGGGGAGAGAAAAGGGATGGAGAATACTGTATACTTTTCTCTCAACAAAACATTTTGTTATAACAGTTTTTAAATACAGAAAAGTTGAAAGAATTGTGCAGTGAACACACATTTATACTTACCACCTAGATCCTATAATTAACATTTCATTGTATTTATCATCTCTGTATCCACTTTTCTGTCCATTTTCAATACATCTTTTTTTCTTGATGTATTTCAAAGTATGTTGTAGATGTACACATTAGTATACTTTACACATTTCACTTACATATTAACTACAATTCAGTGTTTGTTTATGGTTCTTACTCTTTTCTTTAAGGTAAAATTTTCATACAGTGAAATGCTCAGGTCTTCAGTATACCATTTAATGAGTTTTGACAACCTGGGAAACCTAAATCCTTTCAAGGTTGAGAACACTGCTGTCAGGAAGTTCCATCATGCCTTTTTCCAGGCATCCCCAGCCCCTACACCCTGAAGGTCTAATTTTCTTTTTCCCACCATAGATTAGTTTTGCCTGTTTTAATAGTTCGTATAAATGGGATTGTTTCTGTATGTACTTTTTTGTACAAGGCTTCTTTTATTCTGCATAATATTTTTGAGATTCATCCACGTTGTTGAGAGTATCAGCGGTTCATTCCCTTTTTCTTTTTGGCTGAGTAATATTCCATCGTGTGAATATATCCATTTCTTTAATCTTATGTTGATGGACATCTTGGTTGTTTCCTGTCTTTGGTTGTTATGACTAAAGCAGCTAAGAACTTTATTTTTTTTTTTAATTTTTCCTTTGTCTTTCCAAAGCCCCCTGGTACATAGTTGTATATTTTTAGTTGTGGGTCCTTCTAGTTGTGGCATAGTGGGATGCTGCCTCAGCATGCATTGATGTGCAGTGCCATGTCCATGCCCAGGATCCGAACCAGCAAAACCCTGGGCCACCGAAGCGGAGCGCGAGAACTTAACCACTCAGCCACAGGGCGGCCCCAGAACTTACTTTCTTTTTTTTCTTTTTGAGGAAGATTAGCCCTGAGCTAACTACTGCCAATCATCCTCTTTTTGCTGAGGAAGACTGGCCCTGAGCTAACATCAATGCCCATCTTCTTCTTTATACATGGGATGCCTACCACACACAGCATGGCTTTTGCCAAGTGGTGCCATGTCCGCACCCGGGATCCGAACTGGTGAACCCTGGGCCGCCGAAGCGGAACGTGTGAACTTAACCCCTGCGCCACTGGGCCAGCCCCAGAACTTTCTTGTATGAATCTTTTTGTGGCCATAGGGTTTGATGTCTCTTGGGTAACTATAGTTTTTTATATTTAAAAAATTTTTGAAGCATGTGACTGGATTTGGTGATACCAAATCAGTAAATTAAATGAAAATTTAGACTTGAATCTCTTAAAAAGTGACATTAGAAAATTGTATTAGAAAATAAATGTTCTCTCTCCCCTCCAAAATACTCTGAGCTGTTCAGTGATATTCTATTGCATGTGTAATCAACTGTGAATTCTTTTGCACTGTAATTAGGGCTCTGCAGCATGTTCCCTTTATTCTTTTGCAAATTACTCCCTGTCCTTCAGTACACCTTGCACTCTTCTGACTTTTGTTGTTGTGAGACTTACCTTACAAAAAGATTTCTCCTCTCACTTCTGCTCATCTAAATCTTGCTTATTCTTTAAGGCTTATTTTTAATTCCACTTCCTCCTGAAATACTTCCCTGTGCTTTATTTATACATAAAACCCTGGAAGAATGTCTATCTCCTTTGAGCCACTATGGCACACATTATCCATGTCATTCATTTAGCCGTTATTTATATCCTGTCTGGTAATGTTTATCCAGTTTTTGTCTTAGGCTGTTGTATATGTCTTAAATCATTATTTATGACTTGCTTCCAAGATAGGACTTTTTTTTTAACATTTGATAGCAAGAGCAGTCTTTTCCCTACTGTCTAGCAGTTTCCTGCTTTATATGTTATATGCTCAGTAAACGTTTGTTGATATATTATTGATTGATGTTTTGAAACTTCATTAATAGTTTTGAAATCAGTTAGGCAAAAATAGCACTGATAATGTTTCTGTAGAGCTTAAGAAGTCTTCTGAAAGCTGTAAGATTTATTTAAATCTTTCTCTATAACAGAGTGAAAAGAAGATAAAGACAACGGTGCTAACAGCTGCGCTTCTGTTATCTGGAATTCCTGCTGAAGTGATAAATCGATCAATGGATACCTATAGCAAAATGGGCGAAGTTTTCACAGATCTCTGTGTCTACTTTTTCACTTTTATCTTTTGTCATGAACTGCTTGATTACTGGGGCTCTGAAGTACCCTGAAGCCTGCAGAACTCAGAAGGAGAAGCTTTAAAAAATCGAATTTCTCTTCTACGTTGCAATGTCTTTAATTTAAAGAGGCAAATCAGTTTACACCTTTATGTAATTCTTTTACTTTATAGGGGTTGTAAAGCCACTTGATTAGGATTGGAATGGCAGGTTCCCTGATTTAAAAGGGTTGAGTTTGTATTAATACTGATGTGATGAATAGAGTACGAATGTCATTAATTGATTTTTCTTGTTTAATTAGAATCCCTAGTCTACACCTTTCCCTAACTTCTCTGATTTGTGATTCTTCTTTTGGGGGCTGAGCTAGTGCTTTTAGGCTACCAGATGAACATGGTCTCAGCCAGTCCAAAGACTGTATCTTGTATTTCTGTTGTTCTGTCCTAAGAAATGGAGCCATCTTTAAAAATAAAATGAAAGAAACTGAAATTGTCTAATGTTAAGTCTACACATTTTAACTTAAGAGAACTGAATAAGGTAGCCAATTTTATCTTGTTGAGTCAATATCTTAATTTTTATTCCAGTGCATATATTTAATGGAAGAAATTATTAAGATTCATACATGTGAAATTAGAAGGTATTTATGAAATCTTTATTTTACTTTAATTTTTATTTATGAGAATTTTTTATTACCAAACTCAGAATTGGAAATTTTCACTTTTTTTTTTTTTGAGGGAGATTAGCCCTGAGCTAACATCTGCTGCCAATCCTCCTCTTTTTGCTGAGGAAGACTAGCCCTGAGCTAACATCCATGCTCATCTTCCTCTACTTTATATGTGGGACGCCTGCCACAGCATGGCTTGACAAGTGGCACCATGTGCGTACCCGGGATCTGAACCAGGAAACCCCGGGCCACTGAAGCGGAATGTGTGCACTTAACTGCTGTGCCACTGGCCAGCCCCCAAATTTTCACTTTTGAGTTTTCAATTTTCAGAAGTGTGTTTTTTGGGCAAACTAGAATAGAATGATTAGATATAAAAATGGGATCTGAAGAATCACTTGAAGTATACAACCCAATAGCATAAATATCTTTTTAACTAACTTGGTGACACTGTCGTATTTGGAAGATTTGTCTTCTTAAAAAAGTATAAAACATAATGTTATATTGTTTGGAATTACATTTCCTACAGATTTTTGTATGGTTTATTTGGTTAATCTTTGTGATATTAAAAACATATACTTTTTTTTTTAATTACTCACAAAGTCTTGATTTTTGTCATTTTATTTTGAACCAGAATAATGGAGAATAAGTATAATAATTTAAGTCTGTTCTGCTGACTTAGGTTAAGATTATCAGCACAAATTTTTCATGATTCCATGACAAATCTAGTATCTAGTTGATTGGAAAGCATCCTTAGATTTGTCACTTTCTCCCCATTCCCTGCCAATACGCTAGTGGTCTTCACTTGCATGTTTACTTCTTTCATTTCTTAACAAAAAGGCCCCGTTTAGCCAGTTGACACATGCCAAGTTTTAGTAACTGTAGGTCATTATCAAATTTATTTCAAAGAGAAGAGCTGTACGGTATCTGTGTCTATTGATGCCCTTATTTCTCTGCAGCTAATTGGCATCTTCCTGATCATTTGCTCAAGTGTGTTTAATAATATCAAATGGAAATGGAAGTTTCTTAGTGTTTGGAATAAGTAAAAAGAATATTTTATTTAGAAATTTTACTGACTTGAAATGTATATGGGTTAAAACTAGATTCACAAGGATGGTTGTTTAGAGGTGACGTCTTCAGTCAGTAGCTTTTCAGTCTGATCACTTGTGTAAATGGACATGTGCATCACAGTTGGTACTAAAAACAGCAAGAAGGTTATGAGATACTCGGAACTGGGTTAATTAATCCACATCAAAATCTGCTTTGGAAGCCATGGCAGATTGCTAAAAGTGGTATATTGGAGATACTGTGCACTATAATTACTCTTTCACCTATGCTAATAGATAAAGCAGCTTCTTCCAGGACATAGAAGGGCTGTGAATTTGTGGGCGTAAAAAGCCAGTCAGAATTGTCATGTGAATGTATTCTCTAAGAGGAGTTAGAAATGAAGTATCTCAGAAAGAGCTCTGGCCTGAGTATCAGATGCCTGGGTTCTGGTTCCAGTTTAGATTCCAAAAAGTTACTGATCCAGGATTAAATTTGTTTCCCAACTCTCAGTTTTCTTGCTTAAAATCAAGAAATTTGAGTATGTGATTTTAAAAATCTGTTCCAGCTGTAACATTAACTTCTGCATGGCCTTATCCAGGTCCATGCCTTCAAATACCATATATTATTCTACATTCTATAAAGTGCTTATGAGCCTTATGTCTCCAACTTCTATTGCTCCCTTGAACTCCAGATGCATATCCAGTAGTCCCTCCTTATCTGAGGGGGATGCATTCCAAAACCCCCAGTGGATGTCTGACACTGCTGATAGTACTGAATCCTATAGATACTATGTTTTTTCCTATACTACATACATATTTGAGGTATGACAGCAAAACTAGTGCGAATTTCTTTATAGTTTCACAGATAGAAGATTCATCCTTACCGTAGATCTTAGCAACCTCAGCATGCAATTTTTTTCTTTCCTTAGTAAGTTGAGAACTTTCACCTTTTCACTTAAAGGCAGCACTTTATGGCTTCTCTTTGTCATATCGGAATTGTCAGCATCACTACTCTTGAGCTTTGGGGCCATTGTTAAGTAAAATAAGGGTTATTTGAACACAAGCACTGCAATACCTTGACAGTCGATCTGATAACCCAGACAGTCACCAGGGGACATTGAAACCTAGGACCATGAAACCGCAGGTAAAGGGGGACTACTGTATCCCCTTATGTAGCCATTATTTCCTTTTGGATATCTAGAAGGCATCTCAAACATCACATCGCTGAAACAGAAGGATTGATTTCTCTACTGCCAAATCTGCTGCTCCCATGCCTTTCTCATCTCTGTAAATTCGCCAGAATCCATAGTACCTTTCTTGAAAATCTCGGAGTCATCATTATTCTCCCTTTTCCCTCACAGTTCACACCCAATTTATCAATTACTGTTTCGAGAGCTACCTCCAAAAACATCCAGAATCTGAACACTTCTCAGTGTCTCCACTGTTTACGCTAGTGGTTTCCTATTTCTTTTAGACTGAAACCCATACTCCTTACCTTCAACCAACATACAAGCAATTTACAGTGGCTCTGATACCTAACCCTCATTGGTGTCCGTTCTGTCACATATTTGCTCAGGGCCTCCTTACCCTTGGCATAGACTGCATGCTCTCACAGGTGGGCAGTAAGCCACTGAGGAAGAGCAGAAGCTTGTCTTGGTGTCTTAACTTGATTTCATTTTTTAGGAAAACGAAATTTGAGGTGACATTTACGTACAATAAAATGCACCAATTTAACGTGCACAGTTCGATGAATTTTGACAAACATACTCACCCAACGACCACCACAATCAAGATATAGAACTTTTCTATCATCCTGATATTTAAGAAAGTAAAATAGTACAGAGGCATGTGAAGTAAATAAGAGAGGCTCTACCCAACTCCATTACAGCTTTCTGCTGTAACATTTGTGTGTTCCACTAGGCGAGCCATCAAGCTTGACTCTACTTGAGAGTCACCTGGGAAGCTTGAAAACTCCCAATGCGCAAGTTGCACTCCAGACCAATTAAAATAATATCAGGATGGAACACAAGCATTTGCATTTTTCTTTTTTTGTTTTTGCTGAGGAAGATTTGCCCTGGGCAAATTTTGTATGTGGGTCTCCACTGCAGTGTGGCGGCTGAAGAGTGATGTAGGTCAGTGCCCAGAACCGAAGCAGAGCACGCCCAATTTAACCACTATGCCACCAGGCTGGCCCCTGCTTGTTTTTGTTTTTGTTTTTATTAAAGCTTCCAAGTGCAGGTAATGTTGAGAACCATTATAATCTTGCAAATGTGTTTTTAGCTCTTGGTTCTCTTCTCCACCAAGTTAACTCCTACTCAGTCTTCAAATCTCACCTCAAGTGTCACTTCCTCAGGAAATTCTTTTTCTGAATCCCTCTCCTATGGTGGAATCTTTCTTGTTGCATTACGTCTGCTCGTGTTGTTGGTAATGTCTATATCCCCCACTAGATTGTAAGCTCCCCAGGATCCAGCACGTGCCCGACACGTAACAATAAATATAAATGAATGGGAGTGAATGGAGACGTTTGTAGCATCTCTTAGCGCAGGTTCAGGCGGGCGTCAGCGCACGTCCAGGATAGTTCGTGGATGCACATGGCGCCCGGGTGACCCTTGCAGCAAACACCCTCTCAGGGCCCGCAAAGCAGACGCGCCGCACTCCACCGCACCAACGCGCGGGGGCTGCCGCGGCCGGCCTGGCAGGGACAACCTGGCCAAGGCCGCGTGTTTCGGCGCGGCCGGCGCTGTGCGGCCTCCAGCCGAGAGACGGCGCTGTGGAGATAGGGCAGCTTCCGGCCCGCCGCTTCCTTCCTTCTTCCGCCGGCGCCAGCACGTCCTGTTTTCGTTGGCCGCGCTCGGATGGCGGCTGCTGCTGGAGCTGCTGCCGCCTCGTAGCGCTGCCTCTCGCACGGCGAGCCGAGGGCAGCGCGGCGCCTTCCTTTGTCCGGGTCTCCTGCGCGTGGTCCCGAAGGGCGCCCTTCCCCGCGGCCGGCAGCATGGGCCGGGAGTCACGGTGAGGCGGCGCGCCGAGCGGGCGAGCGGCTTCCTTGGAGCGGGGGAAGAGGCGGGAGTTGAGGTGGCCGCGGCGCCAGGCCTGCCCCGGCGCGGCCCCACGTGCGGCCAGCGCTGCCCGCGGCCGCTGGAGGGGCTGGGGACCGTCGGCTGAGGGAATGGCGGTGCTTGAGTCGGCGACGGCGCTACCCTCGCCGGGCTGGAGCCCCTGGAGAGGGAACACCCCCCAGGACGTCGGTGGTCGGGCACCACGTCCCGCCTCTTCCGCGGTGCCTGCCCTCGTGGCCTCGGGCAGTAGTGATGTCGGGTGAATTTCTTACCGCTTCGCCTTTGCAGCGTTTCCTTGGAGACTGTCGCGCTCTATTTTAGTTCTCTGTGCCTGTGTGATATCGTCCCAAGTCGGTTGAAAGGAGCGTGTGGACACACATTTTTACACCACCGACAGCGCTCTACCTTACTGGGCTTTTCCTGGGCTACAGTAGATACTTGCATGGGCATTTTCTTCGCAATTAGACTTCGTATTTATGTTTTCTCTATCCTTTTTAACCTGTGGACTGGGAGGTCTCATTAGAGCTATGATACTTCTTCAAAACTTTAGATCGTTACCTGGCTTGGGACTTTGAGGTTTTTTCCCTTAAAGATGAATGTTTACTATATGTTTAGCAGGAACTGAAAGATCCTTTGTATTTAGGATATAAATAATAAGCAAAGTAATAGTATTTTATTGAGGTAAAATTTACATTCAGGGAAATGGATAAAGCTTAAGGGTAGAGC